GCTGAGTTTCCGCCATGATTTTCTGCAGACGGGGCCCTGGCGGTTGTGTTATCGCGCCTTGTTTCTGTTAGTTCAGACTCCAGGGATCCATCTAGGTCACTAACTACTTTTTCGTCCACCTCTGTGCTCAAGAAAACATCACCCAGCAAATCGGAGCCCGCCGCCATCTTTTCCCAGCTACGCTCGTTCGTGAGACGCATGCGCCGATTGGATGCATCCTCCGTGACGCGACCTTAACTCGCCTCATGATTGGCTGTTGGATAAAAATAAAACCTGGAACAAATGGTTGCGAGCTGCAGTGCAAAGTGCCACCGCAGTCGGACTATTTCGTTGGAAATAAGCGACATCGCTCACAGAGCTGTGCCTTGTGGAGCATTAGCACATCGAAGAAACTGTCAGATAGTTCTCATGCACTATCACATGATTTCAAAGATGCTTGCATTACACTATTTTACTCTCTGAACAATCCAAAATGGCTGCGTTGATGCTATTTTTCCAGGACACCCGCAGTAACCGCCTAGTGCTCACAGACAGTGATGTGAAACTACCTGGATAGTAAACTTTTGAGAGTGCAGATCAGCACTTAGGCAGCCAGTTTGCACGGTTGTTTATGCATCACAGGACTCAGCCTTTTAACGCCGTGACTGTGACTTTTGTTGAAACTTATAAAAATTATCTAAAAAATGTTTTTATGAAAAAAATATGTACCATAAGCACAATCATAATTATTGATCGAATTCGTAACAAATCATAGATTACGAAAAAATTCAAACGAATGGGTCACAAGTGAGTTAAATCAAGCCGTGGTGATTGGCATTCATTTTATTGCCATCAATGATTGCCAGGTGCTTCAATCAGGTCAGCTGTGTACGCCTATAAATTGTTTCCGGTTTTACTAGGACTCGAAATGTGCCATGTGATGAGTCTTTATAGAAGTTTATCGCAACGGCCCCGGATATTCTCGAGCCATGGCTTCGAAGCCATACATTGGCTGTAAAGTATCACTCCTCTCAAAAGCCCAAAATCGTTATGAAGGGATTTTGTATACTATTGATGCAGCGAACAGCACAGTAGTTCTGGCAGAAGGTGAGTTATTTAGCTATCATCCATCCATCCATCTATCTTCATCCGCTTTGTCCGGGGCCGGGTCGCGGGGGCAGCAGCCTAAGCAAAGAGGCCCAGACCTCCCTCTCCCCAGCCACCTCCTCCAGCTTGTCCGGGGAATACCAAGGCGTTCCCAGGCCAGCCGAGAGATATAATCTCTCCAGCGTGTCCTGGGTCTGCCCCGGGGCCTCCTCCCGGTGGGACATGCCTGGAACACCTCACCCAGGAGGCGCCCAGGGGGCATCCTTGTCAGATGCCCGAACCACCTCAGCTTAGCTATCAGTGTTCTTGAAAATCTGTCAGCGTTTCAAAAACTTGCTTTTTAAATTTTTTCTCCATTTCTAGTTATTGTCATTTAATCTTAGCTGCTGGCAAAGTTTCTGGGCTGCCTTTCCTCATAACAGCCATCCCTCAAGAGTCTCTCCATCTAAAGCAATGCATTATCAGGGACTTTAACATCTAGTCCTTTTAACTGAATTGGAAAGAAACTGGGCAAGTGAAATATGGGTGGAACTTTCCTAACTTTATCCATTGTTTTTCTTTTCACTAGTCAAGTGTTTTGGAACTGAGGGACGGCCAACAGATAGGCCGACGTCACCCAAAGATGATGTCTATGAGTACATTACTTTCCGGGGAAGTGATATTAAGGATATTACACTGGGTGACCCTCCAAGGTATCACCATGGCCTGCCTCAGGATCCTGCAATAATACAGGTGTACAAAAACTGCTTGGTTACACCCTCCTTCTTCTAAAAACAGACTAAGTATGTATATGTGTGTTTAAACATTAACATATTTGGTTCATCCAGACCTCCAGTTCAGGCGCTTCAAGCATCCAATCTACCGTTGGATCACTCAGCCCTTTAAGGATGCCTGCCTACAACCAGGTTGCTGCTAGCTCTCTGCTTAATCAGCAGTATGTTGCAGCTCTCGGCCTTGGTAAATCAATGACAGCAAGTTTCTAACAAGTTAATTGACTAAAAAAATTAAATTTAAATGGGTTCTTTCTATACTACACACTTCATATCCTTTACCCAGGGCCTTTACTTCAAGGCTTACTTGCTCAAAGAGGTCCCATGGTGGAAAAGGCTGTTCAAACTGTCAGTGTAAAGACATTTAGGCAGAGGAGAGGTGCGAGTGGATCCCAGCTGCAGGAGCAGCAAGAAGAACAAGGACAGCAGCAGCGGAATAGGAGGCAGCCCAAGGGGACGAGAGGAACAAATATTCAAACCACAAGGGTCACTGAAGCCACCAGTGAGTAAACAATGTTGCAGCAATGAGAAGGAAATGCTGTTAAAGTACTGTGATGTTTCCCAAGTGAAACAGGTTGATTAACTGTGGAGGAGTATGTATGTTTTGGGGAAAATAATGGGGTATTTTTCTAGGCAGCTACATGCACTTAAAACTAAGTGTAGCTGTTGTGGGTGTCTTTGCAGTGCAATCAGACCCAAGTGGATCCACTTCTCAAGACAGTCAGCAGCAAAATGCTGAAACCAGGCCACCTGCTAGAAAAAGACAAGGTATTAAACATGCACGTTTCCAGTAGACTTGAAAATCAGAAAGGACATCCTTGTATACAAAACAAACTTGAGGTGCACTTAATAAAAAATAAATAATAATCTTAGGACCTCGACGGCGCAGGAACCGCAGAAGAGGCCAGCTGATGGTGGCTAATGCTCCATCTCCCACCCTTAAATTTGACACAGACTTTGATTTTGATTCCTCAAACGCGCAATTCATTAAGGAGGCGCTTGAGGAGAAGTTCCAGGAGAGGCTGACTCTAAAAGGTTGGTTATCAGCTGGAGTTGCCAACAATGCACCACTTTTTTTTTCTTCTTTTTTTTTTTTTTTTTTTTTTTAAATCACCTGCTTTGTCAGTTAATTCTCTTTGAAGGAATGCTGTCAATTTAAAGGTATGCATTATTAATGTTGTGGCATCTTCATGGAAGTTGTGCTCTCATGTAACTCTGTTTGAATGAGTTAAAGGTGTGGTGACAAAAATGAATGTTTGAATAGAAGTAAATTTGCATTCAGGTAAAATAAGCCTTCTAATGCCATGTTTCTCTCTGGCCTATAGATAGATAGATAGATAGATATAATTTCTTTAGTGGTTGTTTGTGTGGGTTTTTTTTGTTTGTTTTTTTTTTTAAATAAATGCAATAGCTGAAAACCAGGGAATTGGTCTGTCCTTCCACTGTCAGTACTTTTTTTTTCTGTTTTCAGATGGGAATTCTGAGGGAAGGGAAACGGAGGGGTTGCAGCTGAGTTCAGGGGATGATCGTTTTGGTCCAAAGTGCTACTATGACAAAGCAAAGTCTTTCTTTGACAACATCTCATCTGATAATGGGCTCAGGTAATCAACTGACTCTCTTTGTCTTATATAAAAGTTGGTCTTTGTACAGATATGTGCTCATGGCTATTTATGTACATCAATGGTTTCAGACTGACGTGGGCAGAGGAGCGAAAGCGCAATCTGGAGACTTTTGGTGTCCCTGGGCGTTTCCTGAGGGGCCAAGGATTCAGAGGTGGATATACCAGAAGAGGACGAGGTGCTGCTCGAGTCTAACTCAAAGAAATGCAACTGGGCGGCTGTACAGATCAGTTTCATACAAAGGCAGTAAAGCCACCTTGACTGATTTCGTACCCTATTTCTGGAAGGTACTGGATCCCCTGTAAGAATCTTGCCCCCCTTTTCTTGACAGACCTTTTGATATTTAGTACAGTGAAGAAATCACAAGGGCAATAATGAAGGCTGTATTGCATTTGGAAGAGGTGCTATGCTGTGCATGTTTGTTTACAGTCTGTTTACTGGGATACGTGATGGAACTAAGCCATCATTATTACAGCTGTGCTGTAACCAGTCAAAACGTCTGTCATTAAAAAGTTTAACATTATTTCTTTGACATTTGACCTTGTTTTTATGTGGGTAAAATTTACTCCAACTTTTTTTCTTTTTTTTTTTTTTTTTTTGTTTAAAAGGGGGAAACCATGAATGCTTCAGTTTCTACTTTTGTTTGCTACTTGCACATTTGTAAATTCTTGCTTTTGCCTTTTGGGAGTATTAATCAGATTTGTCCATTCAATGTTGCATAGTATTAATATAATGAACAAAAGGAGCTTTCAGACTTAAGACTTAATTTGGTATAATCAAGGGAATGAGTTGAATGTAAATAAAATGGATGTGCTGATACACCTGTTATGAGACTAAAAGACATTTTGTTGCACAAGTAAGCATTTAAAAATTCTTAGTTGTACAATCCTAATTATAAATAATCTGGGATAGTATCTGTGTTCTATGGCTGTTTCTTTGTCCTTTTAAGAAGGATCACTCCTTTAAACAACGTTTGCAATATATTCAAGATTCGATTATATAAACTGGCAATAAAAATTTTTTTTAAAAAGCGTAAATGTCACACTGAATTATAAGATTACACGTTCCCTGATTCAGTACGTGAGGGGCAAGTGCTGTTGTTAAAAAGTAAACACTCCACAGTGAACGGTGGGATTCTCACATTTCCTGAAATGCTGAAAGCAACTTTGGCTACAGCTGATCCTTAAAGGTTTTGCGCACTGAGCAGCGTGTGCTCCAAGCAGACTGCTTTCTTGAATCAAACGATACCCCGTCTACAGTGAGGGGAAAGTGGTAGGCTACTCACTGCCTGGACTATACCAAAATCTGAGGGAGAGGGATTTGTCCCTTACCATCATATCCCTTTATATGCATGTAATTATTTGCACGCAGATAATAAATAATAGCTTAAGGGGAATCCTGTTTAATGCCATTCAGATAAGTCAAGTGTTTTCTAATTTTCCATCTTTCGCGACATGGCTCTGGTTTGGTCAGTACCCCTATTCCTGGTAATGGAGAAACTATGTAACCAAATAGAAGGCTGCGCTCGAGATAATAAATATTAGAATAAAAGCGGCTCTTTTATTTCCCATATGACAAAATGTCGGTGGCGTTTTCATCGGCGCGCCCCAGAAGTAAAGGGGAGGTGACACAGCAAACCATTCAAAAGGTAAAAAAATCCTAAAACGTCGCGACATTTCTATTTAGATATTCTAGCATGGGAGTATGTGATCCCCCTCCAGTGCAGAGAAAGTAGCCAGTGGTGAATATCAAAGAAATGGCAACTGGTATTGGAACGTTACAGTCAATTGAAGGTGCGAACCAAACAAAGCCATCGCGGTGATGTAGACGAGCGCTCGGCTTAACGCCGGCTGGATCTCTGCTTTCTTGGTGATGCTGTCTGTCATCCTCGCAGATATTTTGAGACGAATGGGAATATTTTTGTGTGAGAAATTGGAAATCAGTTTTATTTCCTCGCAAGATGGTTAACAAGAATTCTCAAAGCAGCAGCTCTGCCCTGGTGTTTAATTAAGTAGGCTATAGATTGAAATTGAAGGCAGGTGTTACAGTATATGTCCTAGGGCACCGCTTTTATCCTTGATTGAACCGTTTAGCGCGAAAGTAAAACGTAAACCCTATCCTTGAAAGCCAGACTTTCAACCGGCGTCCTAAATAAAGACAGTGAAAAATGAGTTCTTCTTTTGGCTCTGTTATATAAAAAGAAAATGAAAAAGATGACCCAGAAAAAAACACTCAAGGGCTGGATAAAGTTCTGAGAATCAAGCACAGCACTGTTTTAATAGAGTATTTGTTAGTTAATAATTTACTATACACTTATAGGACTTCAGATACAGTGGAATGAAGTTGTTTTATTATTTTCCAAAGATGCTGGATGAAAATCATCATTTAATACAGTGCATAATGGATTACCAAAGCAAAGGCAAGACGGCTGAATGCACACAGTAAGTGGTTTCGTCTTTCCTCCCTGACCAATACCTGCTAAATATCAAAGCACAATTAAGACTGGTTTTCTTCTTCTTCTTCCTCCAGGTATCAGCAGATCCTGCACAGAAATCTTGTTTACTTGGCCACAATAGCTGATTCAAATCAGAACATGCAGTCATTACTACCTGCGGTAAGTGTGATTTGTGACTCCAGTAATGGCAACTATGAAATATAAGTATACACTGTGTCCACTGAGAAAATAGAACATTAATCGAAAACAGAAAATAGATGCATATAAATACAGTGTGAAAAAAATGAACTGCATATCATTTATGACTGCCGCTACTTAAATATTACGTCTCTACACCTTTAGCCTCCGACTTCCAGTATGTCTTTGGGTCCTGGAGGGATGGGCCAGAGTGGGGGACATGCTCAAAGTAACCTCAATGACAACATGGGACCAGCACTGCCCCCGACATCAATGATGCAGAGCCAAATGAGTAATGGTGAGAGTTAATTGCATACCTGTGTTTTACAGATAAGCCCTGAATCACTTATTTCAGCCCAAAGATGCCTCCCGATTTTGTTGTCTGTCCAGTGTCTTGCTTGCTCGTCTGATTCTGACTTAGTTGCATGTTTGTCTGCTGACACAGTACCATGTCTTGTCTGCCACAGTGCCCGCACTTCTATATTGCTTCATTGCCTTTAAGTATCTGTGGTTTTAAGTTCAGCCAATGAGTCAGATTGTTTCACAGTTATGTTACTATATTCCCTCTTCTTGTGAAAAAAATATACACACATCCTTAACGTGCGTTACTCTACCTTTGTTCAACCATGCACGTCTCCTGTGAAGATGAACTGAATGTGGGGCCGTGGTTAACATGACATGGCACCACAGGGGAATGTGTGGTGGCTGCTCTGACTGTGCGTGTGTGTTGTCAGGGCCCAACCATGCCCCCATGCAGCAGCAGTCTGGTCAGGTGCAGTCGGCTATTCCCTCCACCTCCCTCAGCCTGCCAGCAAGCAGCTATGGCAGCTCGGTCCCTGGGTACAGCCACGCTGCGCCCTCCTCCCAGGGCAGCATGATCCAGGGCCCTGGGCCTGGTTATGGCTCTTCCTCCTCTTCTTCCTCCACATCCTCATCCTCTTCTTCCTCCTCCCGCAGCAACCTCAACATGCATTCCAACCAAGGTGAGCCAGGTATCGTAAAGCCCAGTCATCAGGAATTGGTCTCTAAACCATCATGATCTGATAGTCAGGAGTTACCATCTCTCGAGATGCAAGATGCCGTACTTGTTTATTACTTGTTTATTACTTGTTTATGTGTATTATACAAGATTTGGCATTTAGAGGATGGGAATGATGAAAATAATCTTTTCAAGTTTTCAGGGTGAAATACTGTACATGGTAGCTGTGCCCCTTTTGAGCTTGCATAAAAAACATGCTTGCATGCATATCTTAAACTTTCCTCCTGTGTAACAGACAAATACGAAACACATTCAGTTCATCAGTGAGGTGTCCTGCCTCCCTCCTTCTTCCCTTTGCTTCAGGTTTAACTTCTCCTACTTTTTGAGATGCACCCCTCCTTTCCCTGGATGTCCGTGTGTATTTATCGTACTTCTGTTAATGTGCTGACTTCGCTGGCTTTGTTTACACTTAAAGCAGCATCTTGAAAGCATTTCTTTAAAGATATTTTTTTAAAAGACCCTTGACTGCTGTATGCTATGGATCCCTTTTGGCTTTCCTCTTGTGTCCTGATTGCCTTGGACCTCCTTCTACATTTGTTTGTTTGTGTAACTATACACATTTCTGTCAGGCTCAGATCTGGAAATTCTGCTTATGCTCCAGAAGGCTGTGCATTCTGAAGCATAAGCAGGATTTATCAGCATTATAGATGAAGTTTATCTCTATATATTAATGTACAAGATCTCCCCCTCCCCCCAAATAATCCCACCTCCTCCACAGTCTCCATGATGCACCAGCAGTCTGCCACACCACACTACTCCTCAGCCCAAGCTGGGGGGCAACATTATCAGGGACAGCAGGCTATGGGCATGATGGGTCAGGGCAGTCAAGGAAACAGCATGATGTCTCAGAGGCCCATGGGATCCTACCGCTCTTCTCAGCAAGGTAGGTGGCAAGATTTCTTTATGCTGCTTTGGTATGGCTGTTGTTTCAGTGAGTTTATTTGGACTGATTTGTGTACTTATGTACACTTGTGTGGGTGGTTGTGTGTGAACACCTGAATGTCTGGCGAATAGTTTTCCAGGTCTTCCAAGTGTGACGGTGGTTGCCAGTATCTAAGTTTTGAGATGGATTGAGATGAAAGCCATAGTTACTGCAAAAGCCCCTGATAAGTAGGTAGTATTGGTAGTATGATGTTCCAAGATTATAAAACGAGAGTGATATTAGACATCTGGAATTGTGTAGGCTCTAGTTGCCTTCCTGTAACTTTAAGAAGTAGCCTGGAGATGTATCACTTGTGTCACTTTAAGTTCCCATCTCTGTAAATCACCTAACTTGCAATGTCAGTGCGTGCCTAATAATAGCTCCACTCTGTCCCTTTGTGTCTTTCAAAGGGTGCAGGCTTTGAAGGCATGTAGTAACTTAGATTTAGAAGAAGCATGTGATACTAATTCCAGTGCAACAGGCCGTACCCTATTGCATTATAGTGTGAAGTGCTTCCAGATAGATGTGTGTTACAGGAATATTGTGTCCATGGTTAAGCTGTGTGGATTTCCCACCAGCCTTTGGTTGTGCAGCAGCTGGAAGGGATATTTTGATTATCTATAGCTAATTGGTCATATCTGGAAGTGCAAAAGACATGTACAGTTGTGGTGAGAAGTTTATATGCACTCATCATGGACATGGATGTCATGGTAATCTGGTGTTTCAAATGATTTGAATGATTTCTCTGAACTGTTCTTGGAATGATTGTACAGCAATCAGTTGTCTTTAGTGCACTTGTTGTTAATTTAATGAAACTGAAACCAAATATTAGTGTGGATGTATGTATATATTGTAACCTGTCTGAACCTGTGTGAATCTGAATTTATTGAATTAAAGATGTATGTTGTACAATCATTCCACCCCAGAAAAATCATCAAAACCCTGAAATTTGCATGGCATCTGCCCATGGTGAGTGAATATAAACTTCTGACCACAACTGTATGTTTTAGATTGCTTTGGTATGAGTGCGTTCTGTGATTCTGCCCATCTTTGTATGGAATTTTTGGCTTTGTTGTAGATTGAAGGGAGATTAGACTATGCTGACTTTTGTTGCAGTTTTCAGAGTACTTGTTATTTTGTAATTTTTTTTATTCTCTAAGATCCAGTTCAGATAAAAAAAACAAAACGGAAGTGGAATCTGGAGTTTCTGCACACCACCACCAAACAAATCCTAATTTTCCAGAATAACAGACCTTCTGTACTTCACACTTTATCTTCAAAAATTGCATATCATGCATTTTTCATTCAACCAAGCAGTGCAATTGTTTCACTTCAATTACTAAATCTAAAATTTGGATAAAAAAATAAATCTTCCTTCATATTATTTTTATTTAATATTATCAATTTAATCTATTGAAAATCATTTTCAGTGACTTGTACAGTACTCTATTTACACATAAGTTATAAAACATCATTACTGTAATATTAATTATTTTTATTTTAAGCTATTTTTAGTTCTCCTGGCCACAGCCATGTCCAACACATGGCCAGTTGGTTTGACCAGTTGTTTAACCAATCATGGTCTTACCTGTCTTGCAGGATCTGCACAGCAGTACATGGGACAAGACGAGTTCTACGGAGAGCAGTATGGACACACTCAGAGCTCCAGCGAGCCCATAAACCAGCAGTATTACCCTGATGGTAATCGTGCACATCCATAAACTTCATACACACAGCTTTCAAACACACAACCCGCATTGTAGGTCATTCCATTTCCCTTTAGCACTGTCCTACAGGCCTGAGCCAGATTTATTGCTGAAGCTCTTCCTCCCAACTTTTCACTGTGGGAGACAAAAGTAATGAAAAAAAAATTGAAAACTCTGACATTGGTCTATTTTCTGCCACTGTGTCTGTGTCCATACTGTCCCCTTTGGTGTGCCGAAATTTCAGATTTCAGAGAGCGATATAGCAGCGTGTCACAGAGAGAGCTCAAACTTCATCTGGGGTGGTTTTTTTTAAAAAAAAATGCTTTGTGTAATACGTTGAAGTGAAAAGGCTGGCAAAATGGTGTTCGTGTGAAAATTTGTTGACAGACATTTATTATGAATGTTTCAGCTGCAACCTGCAAATAATAACTTCTCTTTCGTCTGTCACTGGATTTTGCCTTAGCAGAGGAGTTTTTGCATGTGTTGAATCGTGTTCTCTGCAGGTCACGGGGAGTATTCATATCAACAGTCCTCTTATGGGGAACAAGGGTATGATAGATCATTTGATGAATCCTCACAACATTACTATGAAGGAGGTAATAACATTTCTTAATTTAAATTGCATTTCTATATTTTATTGTTTAAATAAATACTTAACTATAGTAATGTGCATCTGATATGTCTACCTCCAGGGAACTCTCAGTACAGTCAACAGCAGGCCCAGTATCAACAGAGCTCTGGCCAGCAGCAAGCCTTCAGCCAACAGCAGTACTCTTCTCAACAAGGCTACAGTGGACAGCCCCAGGGATATGGTGAGAGTGACTCATACAGTCGTTTTTGTGCATCCAGGCAAATTTAAACACGCACATAAAATAACTGAAAACATCCACCTAATTGAACTCCTGTGCTACAGGTCCAGTCCAGGGAGGATCGTCTCAATATTCTCAGTATCAGCAGAGTCAAAGCCAACAGTATGGATCCTACCGATCTTCCCAGGGAGGCCCTGGAGCGCAGACGCAGAGGCCGTTCTCCTATGAACAGGTACATGAGATGTTTTAACTTAAAGCAAAATGTATGTATTATTTAGGTATAGACATACTGGCACAAGTCTGTGCACGAAACAAGAGTAATAAAATAACACAGGACCTTGCTAGACCCCCTTTGTCTCAAAGGATTGTAATTGAATTTGACCATGATCTAAAACACTGTTTCCTGTTTCCTTATATAATTACACAGAGCAACAGAAAATCAGATTCATGTAGGACCAGTGAAGTAAAAAAAGATGTTGTAGTGTGTGTCTGTTTTAGTACTAATAGAAACATATACTCTGAAAGCACCATGCAGACAGTTGTGGTCAGACGTTTACATGCATTCATCATCAGCATGAATATGGTGTAACTGTTCATTTCCCACGGTGGAGAGCATGCATCTTTAATGAATAACTTGTTCTTATGTACATGCTTCTTTAATGACTTAAAAACCAAGAATTGGGTGCACATCTTTGAAATAATTTTTGGGTTTTCTGTAATCCACACAGGCTCAAAATGTTATATACAGACTAAAATATATACCTACATCTCCAGTAGTATTTGGTTAAATGTTCTTTAGCAATTTACACCTCAACCAGACACTTCTAGTAGCCATCAACAAGCTTCTGACATAATCCAAGTTCAGTATTTGGCTGCTCTCATTGGCAGAACTGGTGGAGTTAATTTAAATTGGCTGGTTTCCCAGCAGAGAACCTTTTAAGCATAGTCCAAAGATTTTCAGATTTGCAGATTCCAGTTCATTTCATGTTTGAACCTTGGGAATTCCCTGGGTTGTTTCTGAATATCCTAAATAATTTCCTCTCATCTGAGGGTGACATTTTGGTCTTCTTCCAGATCCTGGCAAAGTCGTGACACATCTGAATAATTTATATTTATTTATAATTGTTTGAATTAATGATCCTGAAATCTACAGCTGTTTTGAATTGGTTCTAAGAGACCGTCCCAACTTGATTAAATCTACAATTCTCCTTTTTAGATCTCCACTTTAGAGTTTCCCAGACATTTCCCATTGTTTTAAGTATCGGTCTACATCTTGAAGATGTATGTTAGAGTCATTCCACCAAAAAGAACAGTTCAAAAAAAAACTAAAAACCAAATATTGTCTTTAAATTTATGCCCATGATGAGTATATGTAAATGTCCAACCACAACTTTAAGCAGTATATAAATAAATAAATAAATAAATCCAATTAAACATATATTTTTTCTAATTTCAGGGTCAATATGGAAATTATCAGCAATGAGGCAGCACAATGTTTTGCTGGTGGAAGAAAATGTGCGATGGAACATTCAACAGTAATGAACTGGGCTCAGCTATGTATTAGATCAGGCTGCCATCAGATTTATTATCCTCTCATTAATCATCATTCTAGCTAAAATAATTAATCCAGTCAAATGTGATGCTTCCCTCCTCCGTTTTAATTTCAACAGGGTTGTAGCTGGTTGTGGTGCTTGCAAAACCAAGGCAGTTAATGTAACCATTCTATACAAGCTACTAAAAAGGGCGCTGTGGAGTTGTCACATGCACCTCAGCCACATGCACAAATAAACTTGTTCTCTGTCCCCTACCTTTATTGTTTTAAGAGCTTTTGATGTTATTTTATTTTTGGTGCACAGCGCAAGTGAGACTGTGGGAGTACAAAAAAAAAGCTTATTAGCCTTGAAGAGAATATTCTTTGATATTTGATAGAAGACTATAAATCTTGCTCTTATTCCTGGTATAAACACTGTTATATCTCATGGTACATCCTTAAAAAAAGGTGAAAATGTTGGTCGTTAAACCTGACTTGATCATGGGGTTTGTCTGTGTTAGTCAAACTGTGATGTGTTGCTGTGTGGTATAACATTATGTGTTTTCACTCTCTACATATGTCTTGCTGAGGTAATCGACATAATAGATAGTTGACAGACGAAAACTTAACAATGTGTATCATTGTCCATGATAATCTTACATCGTGGTAGTATTTTTGACACTATATTTTGAGTGGCATCGCTCTGCGCCGGCTTATAGCGTCTGTGCAGAGGTAAGGAGTGTTGCGCTCTGATGCCATAAAGTAATGATTTTTACATAAAATTGCATTGCCACTTTGTCTGCACTTTATTTTACAGTGACAGTGTATGTATTGTCTAATATTTTGTATCGTAGCGTGATTCAGGCTGTTTTTAAGAGATGATACTCAAAAAGCCAAAGTAACACAGGAACAGAACAGTAACATGTCCTGCACCTCAACTTCAATAAGTGCAATACACTCAGCTCCGTCAGTCATGTTGAGGTTGGCTCTTACGGTGAACTTTACGTGATTATATGTAGTTTTTTTTGTTTGTTTGTTTGTTTTGTTTTTTTACATACAGCTGTGATAAAGACAGAGATCGTTTGTCTCAAATTATTCAGTGTTATGTTACAGGAAAAGAACAGAATGTGATAGACTATTTAAGAATATTACTTCTTCATTTACGTGACTTAGAGGCAGATATGTGAATATATCAAACATAAATCTTACTACTTTAGCAGTTTTTTTCTTTGTAATTTTTTTATTGCTATTATTTGTATTAGATCAAGGAATTCATGTAAGAAAAATAATACAATTGTTGCAGCAGTATAATTTTTGTACATGTACAAGAATTTACCTTTTTCATATTTATTATCGATCGATCTATCTGCAAGTTATTTCTTTGTTTATTTAGTTAAAAAGAAATCAGACAACTTTTTTTTTATTTCTGTGGTTGTGAGGGTCCAACTTAGCAGTATTCTGTTATAACATCTTGTTGTAACTCAACTTACCTCAGAGGGGAAGAATAACACAACAACTGTGGTCATTCTGCAGGGGTTATCAAGGATGGGAGATACCTGGCTGTCAAACAGCTGATTAACTATGTACCACTCAACACTGACAATCACAGGCGTCTCTAAATTGGTATCAGTTTCTCATTTTTACTGTGAACCAAACATGTGCGGCAAGTTGTTTTCCAGTTCTACGTAGTGTGTCATCACTCATGGGTGGTATGCCTTGTTAGTGTGCGTGTCGGTGTGTGTGGATGTGCGAGAAGGAGAGTTTGATGTGCATAATCCAAATATGAATGTTATCTACTTATCTATTGTAAGACTGCATCGCCTGATCTTTTCTGCTGTCTTTTGTTACTATTTGCTATACAAAAATAAATTGACATTCACCTTTTGTGTGTCTGGATTTTGTCATCTGAACGTGAGTCAGAGATTCTTTAATATTTCATTGTATGCTCATTGGTCACTTCATTAGGCACACCTGTTCTTCAGATTACTAGGCAATAATTTAGACAACTTAATATGCTCAGGTTTAAGCCAAGCATCAGAATGAGGAAGAAATGTGATTTCTTTACTTTGTAGTTGCTGGTGCCTGGTGGGCCATCTCTAGGGTTTCCAAAGAAGGGTCTCAAAAAGAGAAAATATCCAGTGAAGAGCAATTCAGAGTAAAAATGTCGCCAGAGAAGAATGGCCAAACTGCTTTGAGCTAAGAGGAAGGCAGCTTTTTAAATCTATTCAAAGAAGAAGTAAGGCAATTTTAAAGGCAAAAGGGGGTTTCAACCTGGTACTTGTAAGGTTTACTTAATAAAGTCTCCATCATGTGTAGATTGCAACATGGTTAGGTCACAACCAAACTTCAGGAGCCCTTTTTTTTTGTTAAGGTAGACACATTTTAGAGTTTTGAGTTGAAAATATGAGTTCTTTGGCGGTTCAGGTATGGGGTTTCCTTTTCTTTTGTAGCACAGCAGGTGGCGGTAGTGGACCGCAAAGCAACGGCAAAGACTGATTTTGACCGGTGGGGCTTCCGTACATGTGTTGGTCGTAGTCGGTAAACGTGTGATGGGTAGTTGCGATCGTTTTGGAAACGCCAAATAATTATACATATACAAGGGAAATCCATGAATGGACGTTTAGATTTGATAAACCCTTACCTAGTTCCCTGTTTATCACGCTGGTGGAGATGCGTATTAACGTAAACGGTCGACGTGACATTGACAGATCGCTTTTAGCTACTTTAAAACTGTAACCGGTGTCTGTTTGTTGAACGCTATAATGTTGGCAGCGTTGTCTCGATTTAAAATCCCTCGCCGACCATCCTCGGAATTACTTTTAAGATGTATTTTCGAACAAAAGGTCGAAAGAGGTGAGCTGAGCCCCCTCACACTCAGTTCTGTGACTTGTAGTAGGAAAGTCGGCGGTGTCAGAGATGTCAGCACCTCGAGTACACTGTGCACCAAAGTCCGCGGAAACTCCAAGAAAAGGGAGATGTCTGAAAAGAAACTGGTATGTTAAGTTAAAGCGTATTTTACACGTCTTATTTCTCAGGATATTTGCATATTTACAAAGCATAAACACACCTGTCGTGGAGACTATCAGAGTCGTAAGCATGGTTCACTCTACTGTGACATTGCTTCTTTTTGCGCCTCACAGACCCGTCACTTTGTGGACCACCGCCGTGTGAAGCTGGTGGCTGGGTCAGGGGGTAAAGGGGCCAGCAGCTTTCACAGTGAGCCTCGGAAAGAGTGGGGTGGACCGGATGGAGGGAATGGAGGTGACGGAGGAAGCATCATTATAAAGGGTAAGTTTGATTGGTTACAGGAATGTTTATTTGCACTATTTGCTATGTAGAAGTCAATATACTCTCAAGAGCAAACATACGGTAATTTTTCAATCTTCCGTTGTTCAGTTTCTGTGAGCCTGTGTGAATTGAAGCCTCAGCTTTTTGCTCTTAGCTGGCAGGAGTGGCGCCCGATGTAGTTTTTATGCTGCTGTAGCCCAACTGCTTCAAGGTTCAGCAGGTTGTCTTCCTATCAGCTCACCTCTGACCTCTGAAATCAACAAGGCATCTTCACCTGCTGAGAACTGCTGCTCACTGGATATTTTCTCTTTTCAAGACTGTTATGTATAAATCTTTGAGACCATTGTGCTGGAAAATTCCAGTAAACAAGTTTCTAAAATACTCACACCAGCCCTCCTGGCACCAACAATCCAGTCACATTCAAAGCAACTTAAGTCATGTTTCTTCGCCATATGGTGCTCTGTTTAAACTTGAGCAATTGGTCTTGACCGTGTCAAGATGTTTTATACATTAAGATGTTGCCATCTGATTAAATATATGTTTTAATGAGCACCTGGTGTACCTAATGAAGTGGCCGGTGAGTGTGTATAGACAGGAACCAAAGCCAGGATCAAATGGACAATAAATTCTTCAATAAGAATGAGTTTCTTCATGCTTTTATACGTATTCCTTTTTTGTCTGCTTTCAGCTGACCGCTTTGTCAAATCATTAGCACAAGTAGTTCCACTTTACAAGGGGGAGGATGGGGAATCGGGAGGCAGCAAGAACTGTTATGGTCGGAATGGCAGCCCAACCTACATTCGTGTGAGTCCCTGCATTTCATCATAAATGGCACCCACTTTGATCATGAGTCTGGCCTGACCTTACTTAACCTCTCCTGTGATGTTTTTTTTGTGTGTGTGTGTTTGCTTTTTTAAATCTGTAAAGGTACCATTAGGAACTGTAGTCAAGGAGCTGGGCAAAACCATACTGGACATGACTGAGCATGGTCAGGAGTATCTTGCTGCATTTGGAGGGGCTGGAGGGAAAGGGAACAGATTCTTTCTGTCAAATGAAAACCGTTCTCCAATGACAGCTACTCCTGGAATAACAGGCCAGGAGCGGCTCCTTCAACTGGAGCTTCGTACCATGGCACATGCTGGACTTGTGAGCAGACCCTGTTTCTGAAGAGAAAACTGGCGTCAGACTTTTCATCAATGCAGATGTATTGAAGTGTTTTTATTCTCTTTCATCCCATCAGGTTGGCTTTCCAAACGCTGGGAAATCATCTCTGTTGAGAGCCATCACCAATGCTAGACCTGCTGTGGCTGCTTACCCTTTTACAACTCTCAATCCTCATGTGGGCATAGTCAAGTACAGGGATCATGAGCAAGTTGCAGGTGGGTGGTTTTAAGCAAAGATTCTAATTGTCTATTGTAGGAGAAAAAAAAAGGTTATTATTATAGTATATTACAGTATGATAAAGTTGAATGATGTTGTGATTTTTTTTTTTTTATCTTAACTTTATGCAGTTGCTGACATCCCAGGGATTATTCGAGGAGCCCATCTAAATCGAGGCTTAGGAATCACCTTCTTGCGCCACATAGAGCGCTGTCGTTTCCTCCTTTTTGTTCTGGACTTGTCGGCTCAAGAGCCCTGGACCCAGCTCCAACATTTGCGTTATGAACTGGACCAGTATGAACCTGGACTGTCCCAGCGGCCTCAGGCTATCATAGCCAACAAAATGGACCTATCTGAGGCCCAGGAAAAGCTGGAAACTCTTAAAAGCCACGTTTCCCAGAGGGTCATCCCTGTTTCAGCTCTCACAGGACAAAACACAGAGGAGCTCATTCTCCACCTGAGAGAGTTGTATGATGGCTACATCCAAGGGGGAGGTAATGGGTGAAGGGAGATTCAGTGGTAGGAAAAACTGGCTACTTGCTTAATAGAAAATGTGTATGATGAATATTTATATTGGACAATTTAGTCAGTATTTTAATTTCTCAATAAATAAATAAAATAATAAATAAAACACAAGAGTTTGGTGTTTAATTAATGATGGTATTTACACATACAATATTTAAATGTATTATTTTATAAAAGATGAACAGCAAAAGAGATTTTCAATGCTGCCTTTAAGTTTTACTTGATCAATTTTTTTTAAGATATGATTTGTCAGGAACAAAGTTATTGAGAGTTGAAAGTAGATGGAATTCCTTGCTAAACTAGCAGAGGGCATGTTTGTCATGTTTTATTGAACCTCAGTGGTAGTTATGTAAATAAAGCTCCATATAGTCAAAGTAAAGACATCTGAGGGTTTGTGGAGAACTTAGTACAGTTACTGTGGTGAGCAGGGAACTTCAATTGATTTTTACAAGCTCATAAAAAGATTGGTGGTTGTGTATGTGTGTGTAAATCTTTAGAAAGTGGTGTCACTACAAACTAATATTTTGGGGTAAATCTAAATATGACTTGCAGCTTTCTCTCCTGGAGCTGATGTGGTTTCAGAAATGTGTGTTAAATTTTCTGTCAGTGAACGTTATATGAGTTTTGAATTGAACAGAGTAAAATAGCCCATTATTGTCATTGTACGTTGTGGGTACACCGCAGCAACTGTGCAGGAATAAATAACAAACAGGAGAAATGTATACAAAATGCTTGGTCAGAGTAGAGACTATGTCCGAAAAGCCCAGGGGAAGAAGGAGTTTGAGAGATAGATATTTGTAAAATGCTAATTATAAAATCAGTACAGCCAGTTGGATAAATGTTGTTGACTGAGTTTATAATTTATAATGTTTATAATTTGATTATCAAGTCTGGTCCTCCTTTCATGTGGAAGCAATGGGCCACATTCCTAGCTATAATATGGTATAGCTCTTTGTGCACTTTGCGCAAAACAAACCATGTTAATAAGCTATATTCATTTTGTTAGTCTAAATGCGGTTTGTAAATAATTAAAAAAGCTTTTACTTACAAAGCTGCACCTCCACCAGGGGGCGGAAGAATCAACAAAAAACAGCCCTGATGCGCTGCAACTTTTAAAGTTAAATTTTAACAAAGGATTTGATAATGTTTGCAGGCACAAATAATAATTGCCATATAGAGCTGGGCGATAGAACGATAACGATATGTATCGCGATATAACTTTTACTCGATAGAGAAATTAAACTATCGCGATAGACCTCGCCACTCTTGTCCTCTTAAAAAAAAAAAAAAAAAAAAAAAAGGTCAGCCAATCCAAATTAAGTAGCGCAGAGCCGAACCAATCACAGCCGCAGCGTCACGTCGCGTGACTTGTTACGTACAGCACAAGTGCCAAGCCGCACATGTGTATTTGTTTGTGAAGCAGCCAGCCACCGTACCGCCCGGGTGAATGAGTGTGCCGACTAGAAAAATCAACCGAGCGTGACCGAAGGTTACCGAAGAGAAAACAGATGATGGTTCCAATGCCGGAGAGATTGTCGAACGGAAGAGCCATAGAAGTTCCGTAGTGTGAAGGTATTTCGGCTATTTCAAGTCTGACAAAAAACAGAGTAGCGTGCACTGTAAATTGTGCCGAAAGCAAGTCTGGAAATACAATAAACTGGTGCATGCGTTACACTGTGCGCCACGTTATTGTTTCGGTGAAATGAATTTCTACAATACTGTTACTGTTAATTCTACTCTCTGCAGTGTTTAAATGCTTACATATACACACAGTTACTGTCCCTCCACACATACGACTCGGCTCTGCTTCTATGCCCCAGCTTTGTTTACTTTTTCCCACCGAGGCTTCTAGACTTCTGATTGGCCAACATTTCTGCACGGTTAGGAATCTAGCGCCACCTGCTGCTTTGGCATGTTCATAGCAGCGTTTTCCTTCATTTCTGCCTTTATGTGTGGACGGGATTATTTTTTAAAACGAAAACGGAAAATCTCCGTTTTCAAAAATACCCGTGTACATGTGGACGTAGCCTCAGTCTCTGACTGGAAGCGCTAATTCGTCATTCGGCTTTTGTCAGACTAAAGTAACTGTTAAAACTGTTTGAAAAGCTAAGCTATACAACAAGGAGAGATTGAGAATTTCCTTTTAGTTCTCAGTTTATTTGATATTGACAAAAGTTAGTCAGTTTTGTCTGTTCTTCTGTAAAACAAACTAAGATTTATTTTTAGAATTAATATTTTGTTTCTAAGTGGAATTGACAATTTAGTCTGTTTCGTTTGTTCTATTTTGAAACTTAAACGCTTTAGCGGCTGCCTTTTGTGTAGTTTGCAATATTTGCCTTTATTTATCTGAAAAAGTCTCATGTTCCTTAAGTACATCTACCCTGTTGAACTTCATCCATCCATTCGCGTCCGCTTAATGGAAGAACTTATTATGGGAAATAAATATTTAAATAAAAACAAGCTGCTGATTATTTCACATTTTACTTGTGAGCAACGGCACATTTAAATCTTACTAATAGATATCTTTATCGCCTGAAATGAAAAAAACATATCGTGATATGAAAAAATCTTATATCGCCCAGCTCTATTGCCATATCATTGTAACCTGTTTCTGGTCAAGAGATGAATAGACCTTCCAACTCAGGTTTGTTCACCATCATCTGGGGGAAAAAAAAGATTTTTTTTTCTCTTTAGCTAACAACGGTTTTCTTCACGAGCTAGCATAATAAGTGTGTCCTGTTTGGTGTTGTAAGTCAAGGATCAAGTAGACCGGAATTTCGCTATATATGATCTTTTTTCTTAACCAACAAGAGGTTAAGAAGTCTGTAACACCTCATAGCTGATTTTATTTCCTTTTTACTTTATCTCTGGGTAAGTTAATTTAAAACAAAAATGTAACCCAAGCAATTCGATTTAAAACTACAGTTTGATAAATGTATATGTATTGCTTATGCTTCTTATGTCTATTACTTCCTATGTCAATAAGATGTATACAGCACTGAAAGCAGTGTCTGATGTCAGAGTGATGTGTTAAATGACCCAGTATATCATCAAATGCCTCTGGGGAAGGATTAGCTGCCAGCCCGGGAAAACAAGGTCAGGAAGAGCACACTCAGCAATTTCTCCACTTTTAATTAAGTGTAGGGATGAACCTTTACAAGAGGTACTTACATCACTTTCCAGAATAAATTTGTTCTTTTGCTGGTCTCCTCAAATAGGTTATTTGAAAGAGCTGCAAAACACTATGCTTGATAGTTGGTATGAAGCATTTATGCTGATGCTCTCTGTAGTTTCCTCTTATGACCAGACTTGGTCTGGTCTGTTCAAAGGACATTTTCCAGAAGGGTTTGTTCAGATACAGCTTTGTAAACCTAATCAACACTGTCATGTTTCTAGAGAGAAAATGCTTTCTCATTTCAAACAATTCATAGGTTTTCTGTCCTTTTCTAATTGTGCTCTCATTAACTTTAACATTTAACAAGCTAATTGAGGCCTACATAATTAACAATTATGGCATTGTGTTAACATACACTCCCATTCTTCAGACTTGAAAACTGTTAAAACCTCTGCCTGCACTTGCTGATGATAACAGAAACATTTTTTAAGTTGTATCTTCAGGCATTTTGTTACTAACAGCCTGTCACAAAAACATAATTTGTTCTGATTCCAGGAGTTTATTTATAGGATTGTCGGTAGATTAACGGCATAAAATAACATTTTTGTACTAACAAGACAGGAAAGGATTCACAGAAAGCAAGTAAACTTGAAATTTAACCATAGGAAAAATTAAAACTATGCCTTAAAAACTGTTGAGAACTCAAAATTACAGTAAAAAGCATTTCCCTGTTATGACTGTTGATAACCACATTCACTATCTAACCACTATCACTGTCTAATGATATCGTAGTGAAAGTAGCATGTGAACCATTCTCATCTCTAAAGTCAAGTTTTCTTTTCCCATAACCCAGACCCCATCATATCATACTATCATCTCACACAATTAAGCTATACTCTGGCTTTGCGTTTTGTTAAGCTAATATTTAGATCAAGAGCAGCCATTTAAAATGCCTTACTTTTCATAATATTGTAATATACACTTATGAGACATATTAGAGACTATGAGTACTGAGCTGGCACTGAGCTCAAAGTTGTGATCTGTGGAGAGCATCCTGCTGGAGAGTATTCAAATTCTGAAAAATATAGACAAAGGGGTGAAAAAGAAGAGATAATACATTAATAACAGAATCTAGCTGTTTAGATCTATGTTTGCTGGATTTATTACTTTTTTGCTATTGCCTTATTTAGTAGAATTTTTAGAGAATATAGACAGAATCCCATTCAAGTCTTGAAAGTTAGAAGTAGAAAGTTGTATGAATTAGCTTGTTTCAGATGACTTAACAATAGCAACAAAAGTCTCTGTAAAAACCTTTCACACGAAAAGGTCTCATATTGCTTTACCCCAGGCTTAGGTTGTCCCTGCAGATGTCTCATTGCCATGTTTGAGGACGCTTCCAGTGGCTGGAAAAATCAAGCATTTAAATGTTAATAGTTTTGACCAGGTTTGCAAAAGTCTTAACACCTGCTTTTAAAAATCTGACAGATTTACTCAGTTATAATAAGAATAATTATTATAATAATCTGTACCATGCGTAACATTTTCATGACTAAATGATTGTGCCATTGAGCCTTCCTTTTGGGACTTTGAAATCAGTGCGCAGATTTCGGATACTCCAGGTACGGCTTTATTCATCACCTGAAAAGAAACCAAACAAAGAAATGTCAAACGTAATGTAATATCCAACGGTGCAATAGACTCACAATACTTGAAATGTGCAATTCCCTTGTATTCTTATTCCTATTTATTCTATTTATCCCTTTTGTATACTCTGTATTTATATATGTGTATATATGGTATATTTCTGCTCACATTCTGTAACTTCTGTCGGTGCAGTGCTATTGGAAACCAGATTTCCTGAAGGAACCCACCTGAGGGATATTAAAGTTTCATCTAATCTAATCTAATCTAAACCATGGCAGTATTTCATGTTTGAAATACAGTTGTCATCCAAGCCCATCATGCTAAGCTGGCTTGATGTACTTTTGTAGTTAATCTTGGAAAAAGACCAAATTCAAAAGTTTTGACATCTTCTGTCCAAATTTCCAAACCTATATGTGACTTGGCTATTCTTAATGAAAATGTAAAAAAATAAAGACCTTTGACAAATAAACACTTATTTTCTTGGAACTATGTAGTTTTATTAAAGAGCAGAAAAGAAAACATTACACAAGCAGGAGTAAGTAGCATCTACATGTGCACAAAACACCCGCAAAAACCTTTAAATGGTCTCTCAGTCTAGTTCCGTAGGCTACACAATCAAGGGGAAGACTGCTTACTTGACAGTTGTCCAAAAGACAACCACTGACACGTTGCACAAGGAGGGCAAGACACAAAAGGTCATTGCAAAAGAGGCTGGCTGTTCACAGAGCGCTATGTCCAAGCACATTAATAGAGAGGCAAAGGGAAGGAAAAGATGTACAAGCAACAGGGATAACCGCACCCTCGAGAGGACTGTAAAACAAAACGTCTTCAAAAATGTGGGGGAGATTCACAAACTGCAGCTGGAGTCAGTGCTTTAAGAACCACTACGCACAGATGTATGCAAGACATGGGATTCAGCTGTCGCATTCCTTGTGTCAAGCCACTGTTGAACAACAGACAGTGTCAGAAGGGTCTCGCCTTAACCCTAACCCTTGCCATGTCATCTGCTGGTGTTGCTCCACTGTGTTTTCGGAGGTCCAAAGTCAACACAGCCATATACCAGGAAGTTTTAGAGGACTTCATGCTTCCTGCTGCTGATCAACATTATGGAGATGCAGATTTCATTTTCCAACAGGACTTGGCACCTGCACACAGTGCCAAAGCTACCAGTATCTGGGACCATGGTATCCCTGTTCCTAATTGGCCAGCGAACTCACCTGACCTTAACCCCATAGAAAATTTATTGGGTATTGTGAAGAGGAAGATGCGATTTGCGAGACCCAACAATGCAGAAGAGCTGAAGGCCACTATCAGAGCAACCTGGGCTCTCAGTGGGGCGATTGTGGCTCAAGAGTTTCGTCTTGTAATCAGAAGGTTGCCGGTTCGAGCCCCGGCTCCGACAGTCTTGGTTGTTGTGTCCTTGGGCAAGACACTTCACCCGTTGCCTAGTGGTCAGAGGGCCTGGTGGCGCCATGTCTGGCAGCCTCACCTCTGTTAGTGTGCCCCAGGGCAGCTGTGGCTACAATGTAGCTTGCCATCACCAGTGCGTGATTGGGTGGATGACTGAATGTAGTGTAAAGCACTTTTGGGTCCATAGGGACTAAGTAAAGCGCTATACAAATTAGAGATGGACCGATCCGATATTACGTATCGGTATCGGTCCGATACTGACTTAAATTACTGGATCGGATATCGGAGAAAAATAAAAAATGTAATCCGATCCATTAAATATCACGAAAACGCCTCACAAAACTTGCAACACGCCGTAACTCACCTCAGAACGTTAGCACGTCGGAGCAGTATGCATCACGGGACCTGTCGGTGGTCTGGATAGCATGTGGAGCTTCGCTAGCAACCCGGCATTTCATCTCCGACAAAGTTATCCCGAGAGAAGTAAAGCAAGTGTGTAAGTCCATCTCTGAATGTTTGTAAAGGATTCCTGCGTTAAGCTTAACAAGCGACTGCCTCTCCTGCTGCTACTTCAATCATGAAACTGCTTAATGATCAGCTGATCGGCTTTTCTGTCGCGAGTCCGTGTCTCTAGTTTGCTTTTGGCCCACTTTGCACCAGAAAGAGGAAACCAGCGGCTGAACAACAGCAGCACGTTTAAGCTTGATAAGCTGTTGTTAGAATGTATTTAATATTACTTTCTACTCCAGGATCTTTTTCTACGTAGCTGACGCTGGTAACTGTGCAGGGGCGGATCTAGCAAAGTTTAGCCAGGGGGGCCGATAGGGCATTAACAGGGAAAAGGGGGCACAAAGACATACTTTTCTTTCTTATTCTCATTTAAAATGTCTAGCTTTTAATAAATAATTATCTGACACCCAAAGTTTTAATTTGATGTAAAATGAATAGAAGTCAATTACTGTATATAGTAACTATTAAGTCTAATATATATACCCTAGTAAGCTATAGTACTTTTTCCTTTGGGAAGGTACCATCTGTGCAGTCTGCAATTTTGTTGAAGAAAGATGTTGAATCTATTTAATATTTCTTGAAAAATAATTGATTTCTGTGCATTTTTTTTCACACTGCATCAAATTAAGGTTGATTACGTCGATTAAGCATCATGAGGTGGAGCGTGAGGGGTGGTTCCCTATTTTTTATTTATTTATTTTTGTTGTTGCTGGGAGTTGGAACCCTATTAGTTAGGTTGCTTAATATTTATGCTAAGTACTCTTTAAAATACCAGAATAGGGAGGATGGTGTAGGTTTAAGTTTATTAGATTGATCAGTATTGCTGAACTATGAAATATTTTTTTTTGCATACAGGTATAACAGAATAGCTTTAGTGTAGTTGTTGTTTTAAACTTGAGTATGAACTTATACAAAATGCAGCAAGATATTTAAAAAACAGTTTTGTTGATTAAAAAACACTATATCGGATTCATATCGGTATCGGCAGATATCCAAATTTATGATATCGGTATCGGTATCGGACATAAAAAAGTGGTATCGTGCCATCTCTAATACAAATGCATTTACCGTTTACCTGAGCAGTGCCACAGACTGATCAAATCTATGCCATCCCGCAGTGCTGCAGTAATTCAGGTAAAAGGAGCCCCAACTAAGTATTGCGTGCTGTACTTGCTCACACTTTTCAGTTGGCCAAGAATTCTAAAAATCCTTTCTTTGTATTGGTCTTAAGTAATATTCTACTTTTTTGAGATACTGAATTTGGGGTTTTCATTGGTTGTCAGTTATAATCATCAAAATTAAAAGAAATAAACACTTGAAATATATCAGTCTGTGTGGAATGAATGTAACCATTATACAAGTCTCACATTTCGAATGGAATAAGTGAAATAAATCAACTTTTTGATGATATTCTAATTATATTTATTGGCACCTGTATTTAGGACAGTTTTGTGTTATTTCAGGTTTAATGTTTTTTTAACAGGATGATATGTGTGTAATCAGCTCAAAGTAAATTGCGGTCACTCATTTTTTTGAGAGAACCTGCGAGGTAATAGTAAAAAATAAGTTCAATGGCACAGACGATTAAGACACATTATATTTGGATTTATGTTACAATGATGGCACCTTGTATAGCAACTGCCTGCTCCTTTTGGGCTTTTCACAAGATTTGTTGAACATACAACCTAAAATATCACAAGAACAGTTTTATAATTTGTCCAGTAGTGATAGTTGATAATAAAAGTGTCCAATGCCAATTTTTATTTGGACTTTGTGACTTTTGCAGGAATTAATTTTCGCACATGTCATACTCCTCTAAGTGGCCATGCATCACAGTTGAATGATTTGTGACAGGCTGCAATTCAGAGCCACTCATTAAAAAAAAAAAAACAGCTAAAAAATTGTATTATTACAAAAATATATATTTTGCAACACTTACTGGATTCGTTGTGACAGTTTTAACGTGAGATATTTCTTGCATCTGGTTCTCTTTTTGGTTCCCGACACCTGCTTCAGAAATAGTAATAGTGTTTTAAGTTTTTCCACCAAAACCAGTCACAATTGAGTTTACATACATTCAATAAATAAAACTTGTAAGTTATTTTAATCACTTTTAAAAGAATTTAATAGGCTCATATACATAAAAAAGTCACTCAATAAGAGAATCAACAAATATTCACAAAAAAGTGTCTGTGCTTGTGTGCAAATACGTGTTCTTGTATTAGCATACAGTAAAAAGAAAGTATATGTAATTTTATGATAAAGTATTTACTGGGCAGCCTGATCCTGGATTGTCAATGTTAAACGTCATCAGTTGTTCTTCAAGGTAATTATCTTGGATTTTTACAGTCTCTTTCTTGCAGAACATCAGAAAAGCCACAGAAAATAAACCTAAAACATAAAAACCACACAAAGAAATGCATATGGCCTTAAAGTATTAAAGTAATAATTAGTTATTATTCACTTGCATCAGGGAAGACATCTTTAAGGCCAGTTTAATTAAAAAAAAAAAGAAGGAAAAAAACTTAACCCAAAACTCTAATTGTGTATCACATTATGATTTTGATTTATTTATGTTTTTCCTTCAAAAAGAAAGTCTTTGACTAAAATAAGATATTTTGTTAGTTTCATTGACAAAGTAGTTTTTCTGCTTTTTTTTTTTTTTTTTTAAAGCACTCATCAAACTCTTTTTATGTTCTTTTCCAGAGAAACTTTTTTTTGCCATAACATTATCAGGGTTAAAGTTGCTACTTATCATTAAAAGAGAAAACTCACAGGAGAATTGTATTTTTGTCTTTATGTATTGATCATCTTTAGCTATAACAACAACATTTACAAGTTATCTTATTCATAATACTTGATTAATTTTGATCATGTGTCCTACCTGTAAACAGCAGCATGGCCAAAAAAATCATTCCCTCTCCTCCTAGTGCAGATTTCATTACATGACAGTTTGGGATTTCTGAGTATAAGCAGCTGCAAACAGTAACTGACAGGTTGTGGAAAGCTGATTTCCCCTGGTGGTCAGAAACTTCTAGCAACAGCTCATGGTAATCGGAATGAACTGTAGGCTCTTTAACCAAGTTGACTGAATAACCTGTGTGTTCCAAATGAATGCGTTTTCAATTGCATTGCTAACAGTCAGTGGATTTTTTTTAAATTTACTTAAAGGAGGCTCAGAAATTTATTCAATATATTATTTTTGTGAGTAATATAAGGTTGAGTATCTGCAGACTCTAAAGCTTACCAGTGACAGGGTCAATCTTCCACTTGCCCTCAACATCTCCATGGAGCTTGAAGGTGAAAGGGCCACTGTAGGGCTCAACATCTGAGTCCAAGGCTGTGATGTTGGCAAAGGATTGTCCGTCAGATTGGCACATTTCAATTGTGCTTACAACCAGGTATGGAGTATGATCATTGTCATCTCTAACATAGATACTAAGAGTTGCAGTGCTTGTCATTTGTGGTTTCCCTGGTGATGAAAAAGTATTGCAACTTGTTTAGAAATGTAATGAGGAAATGTAAATGAATAATGGGCCAAATATGTAAATACTTATCGATTCATACCATCGTCAACAGCACATATTGTGACTACATAAATGTTGTCTTTAACAAACTCTGACTCTCGATCCAAGGGCTTTGATGTTGTTATGTTTCCAGTGTCAGGGTCCACTTTAATCCAACCAGCTGGATCGTGTCCTATAATGTATCTGAAATGGTTTGTTAGTCATTTTCAAAGTGTCTACTGATGTAGTAATGCTGTATGTTTTTGTCTTGTAGAAGTGACATGTAGTTGTATAGTTGTCAAGACTTACTTAAATGTGTTTTTGTTGGCAACATCAGGGTCTTTAGCTGTGAGTGTTGCCAGGTATTGGCCTTCCTTAACATTCTCAGTGACCACAGTTTCTATGGAAGTCTTGTCAAAAACTGGAGGCTCATTGACATCCTCAACAGCCACGATCACTTGACCGCTGAATGCAACTGCTCCAGCCACGAAGCTCATTGCAGACCCAGTAGCAGCAGAACCAGATATGGTAACTACTTTCCAAAGATCAGTGGAGCTGCGTTTTTCCACTTTGAATGAATAATAGGGGATCTCATTCTCTACAGTGATAGTTATATTCTTCAGAGCACCATCTTCATAGTTTAAAGCCTGTAAAAGGAATTAAGATACAAATCTTGTTTGGACTATTCAAAATAAGTTGCTGTTCATCAAGTATTTACATTTTTTAACTTCTACCTCTGCAAAACGTAGATATGGTTAAAGCTTTAGGTGCTCTGTCTGAGGGTCTGATATCAACTCTGAGAATCAGGGAGTCAACTCTGCAATTTGAGTGATTGTAAAATGTAATTGTAAATATGTGTGTGTTACATAATCAGAAAAATACCTTTTCCACATGGAGTAGTCCATCGTTTGTCTCAGGATCTGTAGTTATTCTAAAGTTGTTGTTTGTGTCTCCTTGAATTGTATATTTGGCTCTCCAGGCTGGAGTTCCTCTGGTGTCTTCATCATGAACTTGTATACGTGACACAAGAACATTTGTCTGTCCTTCTTTCACTTTTTCTGGGCCCTCAGGTCACAAAACAGAAAGTTGTAAAATAGGAAATGATTTTCATTGAATAAATTTGTCACGTTTAATGCTTAAGATTAGGTACAAGATTAGGTATTAGATTAAGATTAAGATTTCAAATTAGGCACAGGTGTGTTGGCTGCAGATTGGAGGTGCTTCTGGGTCAGGGGTCACCACACTCTCACTCTCCCGGAAGCGCGGACGTCCAAACATAGCTGGGCTTGGAGGGCCGGGGGAAGAAGGCGGGAGAGAAACACACACGCACCACACAAAACACACCACAAGCAGGATGTCCAGGAAGGACCGTCCGACTGTTATTGTGACTGAAATAAGTAACTGCTAACTGTTTGCTGTGTGATGACAGGAAGGTGATTATTTCCATCTTCTATATTGATTATGATGGTGCAGGAGCTGGATAGTGGTTTTTCTCCATTGTCTTTGGCCTCCACTATAATGGTGTATTTCTCAGCTGTCTGATGGAGAAAAATAAAATTTTGCTCATCTTGAATGTAAATGGATGTCAAAAATATTGAATTTAGTCGTACTATTGAAATTTGAGGAGATTCATGTTGAAAGATTAAAATGGAAAGTTTTAATTTTTCAAGCAGTAATTTCTCTCACCTCATGGTCCAGACATCCTTTAAAAGAAATGACTCCAATGCCTGTCTCATCGATCTCTTTGAAGTAGAACTCAAGATCCTTAGGTTTAGGTTTGACTGAAACTATGTTAAGGTCAACTGTGTGGTATATCTTACTTATGTCTTGATCTGTTGCTTGAATTCTACCCACTTCAGTGCCTGTTAGTATCAAAAGGAAATAATGATTATTTTGTTTAGATTCACTGTCACAAAAACATAATTTTGACACCGTAGCATTAGTAATTTAAATAATATTTCTTTCCAAATGAGAAAATTACCCTGTGATGTTGACTCTTTTATGGTGAAAGTGTACTTTTCAAACAGAAATTTTGGAGGGTTGTCATTTGAGTCCAAAATCTCTATATAAATCCCGAGCTGTGTCTCTATTTCATGTTTTTCTCTGTCAAGTGCTTTAAATTTAAGCTGCAATGGAAAGATGAAATAATCAAACCTCGCTCCATGCATAGCTTTTACTTTCCATTTAGATATTTTTTTAAAATTTCTTCTTACCTTAAGAGTTTTATATTGTTCGTAGTCCACCGAACGGAGGACCTTTATTTCTCCTGTATATGAATTGCGTTGGTTCCTCATCGACACCTTCTCCTTGTATCATAAAAAGAACGAGGTCCTTCTCAACCTCCATCTGTATCAAACATAAGACACACGAGCAGTGAATTTTGCAATTGTCCTTCTCCGTGTCATGATATGTGTTACATTGTAAGGCATACACTCACTTTGCCCAGTGAATATGGGAAAGGTCCCTGATAACCTTCATCAATAGTAAAGGAATTAATGATCCAGTTTCTTTTTTGATGCAGCAAAAGTTGTGAAGATGATCTGTGGACTCCCCAACACTGCAAAAGATTACACTGGAAACATTTCTTGCAGTAAATGTGCAGCACAGCATATTTATGAGTATTATATGAAAATTCTTAGCAGATTTTTAATCTTTAAACACTGGCTATAACTGTATAATGTTGACAGACATAATAATTGACCAAGATAGTTGTGTAATTCTTGATGATGATTGATTTAATTCATACGTGCTCCTTCTAGTTCTTGAATGTGAAAATAAATAGTATAAATGTTAAATCAATAAAATGTCATTCTCGTGTTCTTAGTGCTATTTACAGTAAAATTTGTGTTGAAATCTGAGGCAGTAAAAGAAAATTTGGAAGTAAACAATAAGTACTGTTTTAAATATTTAACTTTTACCAGAACCAAAAGCAGAATCGGGTGTTTCAACTCCATATTATATCCAAGAGATGGCTCACTTTGACATTTGTGCAGTCTACTCACTAAATGCATGAGTGGAAATTCAGCTATGTGCCAGTATGAGCTTTAGAAGACAGATGGGAGGGTTTATATTGGTAAATGGGCCTTTAAGTTCATCCATCCAATAATCAGAATCTGTATCATAAATGTGTGCTATACCTTGCTATACTGCACTGAATGTATGTAGTTGTGTTTTAAACAACAACCCCGGCATCCCCCCAACACAGAAAAACCCAAAAAAAACCAAAAAAAAAAACAACAGATAATCATACATATACACTGGATATATAATGTATAGCATACAGTTTCTGTATGCAGTTCGTTTATAGGAAACTGATATGAGATCAGCATGCTAGATAAGCTACAGCTGGCTCCCTGCTCTGACTTCAGCATTTACCATCTGTGTGTTGTGGGGAAACAGATCTAGCTTCACACAGGTTTCCTGTTAATAACCACCCTGGTAAGCATGTGTAATCTAGAGGAGTTAGAGTGCAGTATGAAAAGTGTTGATGATAGAACTTGAAGTCAACTCCTGCCATGTCTGGGTTAATAAAACATGTAAGATGAAGAGGTGGAGGGACCACCAGCATTTTCAGATGAGTGGTTCTGAGAAGTCACTGACTTAACTGAATGCACAAAGTTTAACCTGATTTTGCTGAAGTAATATGCTAATTCCTTCACTTTTCAACAGTGTTCTGCAGATGGAGGAGTTGGCCGTCCGATTGGGGTCTGGAATGTGGGGCCTCCCTGCTGCTACCGAGTCTGGGCGGTCTGCTTCTCTCCACCCCAGGGAAGAGGGTAACACCACCTGGGTCTGGGTGCAGTTTCCCCCACCAGGGGCAAGGGTACCTAGACCCCGTGCATAGAGTACGCTTGGGGAGTGTGATCGTGTGTACAGTGTCTATTTATGTCTGTCTCCACGTTGGGTGAGTGCTGAGTAAGTGCATATGAGAGCATGAGGGTGGGAATGGATGTTTGTATCTGTGTGTGCCTGTTTCTCTGTGTCTATATGTCAGGTTGGGTATCGGATGTCACCTCTCTAGGGACATCTCAGGCCCTCCAAGGTATGGAGGCCTATCTCCCCCCACCACTCCCCCTGCCAGTGGCAGACGCCCTCAGACATCGGTGTATTGGTGGTTCTTTGTGTCCGGGGATGGGTGTCCAGGTACGCACCGGCTCACTCCTGGTGGCTGCCTGTCGGGGCCTGGAGCCTGGGGTTCGCTTGGGCCCCTTTGGGGGTGGGGCATCCTCGACTTCTCGGCCTGGGGCTCGGTCACTCTGGTAGAGCTGGCTGCTGGCGGAGCTCACAGGCACGTCACTGCAACCCCCCCTGGCTTCTGCTCTGCGGCTGCTGAGTGACCCCTCATCTGGGGCTCTCCTCAGCTCTTTCTGGGAGAGTGGCTTTCTCAACAGGTTATCCAGGTGAGTGATATATGTATTTTTTGTCTGTTTGTTTTGTTGGTTTCTGTTTTTTGCCCTTTATCACCGTTCCTCTTCCCAGCTGTTTTTCTTTCCCTCTTTTTTCTCCCTTTTCTTTCCTCCAGTCATGTCTGTTATGTGTGTAGCAAGTGAAAATAAAATAAAATAAACAATAAAATCAAAGGTGAATCAAATAGACCAATACGGCAAGCCGGGATGGTCCATTTGGCACCAAACGGGACAGGCGAAAAAACAAAACAAAAACGGTGTTCTGCAGATAATCACAACTAACCATTTGAACAGTGCTTTAATTCATCTGATTTTTTTTTAATTTTATAAATACATTCTTAAATAAATACACCTGATATAAACTTTTAAGTCAAAGCTTAAAAAAGGTATTTTTGAGCTCATTAACAGCTGTTTATTTGGAGAGATGTAGTCCTTACTGGACAGCCAACACAAACATATGATTATATATGTAGTACATGATGCACCACTCGAGATTAAACAGTATCTCCAAAGTGTTGTGATTTACAGATTCGCTTGCTAGGCCTCTTTGGGTTTTTATCAGGAAGGGCATCCAGCATTAAAATGTGTTGGATCAAAACATGCTGCTACAGTCTATAGCGACCCCTTGTGGATATGGGAGCAATCAAGTAGCACTGGAGGTTAAACAGAAATATTTAAAATGAGCTCAACCATAAACAACTGCATCATTAATACTGATTCACATAACACTGTAAGTACTTTTTCATTTGATTGAATTTATGTACAGTTTCGCATTAATACAGTTTTATATGTAATATGCTATTGTTACTTTTGCTAAGGGATCTTACATGATTTCTCCAGCACGTCATTGTGAGCTCAAGGAAATAATTAGATATAAACTTTATAATATTTCAGCCAGTTAGGTGTGCAGAACAGTGGTGATGTAAGACTTTTGCACAGAACTGTACTGCAGCCTTCCCTGTTGAAGTTGATGTGGTTTTAGAGAATTCTGTCTCACATATTCTTGCAGTGGGCATGCTGGGGTGCCAATGCTACCCCTCAGCCTCCTAGTAGATACAACTGTGGTATCAATTTCAAACTCCTTGTTGTCTTGTTCTCAAGATATTGCATTCACAGAATTTTCAGAAAACCTGACCTCTGACCTGGAGGTCAAGGTCACCGAAATGCAAACTCATCTGAAATTTTTAGTAGCTGCACCTTTTGTATGAAATTCAAAATCCTACATCACCTCATTTTGTGGTCAAGGTAACTGGGATTCTGACCTTTTTGGGACCTGTACAACTGCAGTGAAAACTCTGGCTGCACTGACTGTCCCAAGTCTGATATTAGATGCATATCTAAAGATGCATGTGTAATTTACTTTTTGTGAATAAAATGTTGACAGAGGCTGCCAAAAGCAGCACGATGAAAAAAATGACCCCCCCCCAAGGTTTATGATTATGGAAGTTGAGACATGCCATAATCAGTGGCGTAACCAAGCTGATGAGTAAATCAGATGCTATCATGTGAAATACGAACTACAAGCCATGATTCCATAGTTTGTAGAACCACCGCCAACAAACTGAAGTCTAAAATGGTTGTGGAGGAATTTTGTCCCATGTCGTTGGTGTGATATTATTCTGTTATTATATGTTACCTTATAGATGTAATCAAAATAGTTGAATTATGATATTGTTGTAGATCATATTATACCCTTTAAAATAGAGTGTGTGATCTGTATGTAGTTTAGTTCTCATTATACTTTTGAGTTAACAGAACATATTCACATATTAGTTCATTAGATAAATGTGCATCACTCTGTATCCTTGATCTGCTGGGAATGTGTTACACTGTTTTCTTGACATGCTTAATTGTTGAATCATGAAGAGAAGGTTGTAAGCAGGAGACTCTGTGTCTAAAGACAGGGGAGATAGACAGACCACATTCCACACCCCCACCTTACAGAAAGCAGAGAAACAACTGCCGAGGTCATAACTTAGGCGCTGTAACAGAGAAAAAATGTGATGTTTTGGCTTTTACGACTAGCTGGGGGCCACTAGAGACTATAAAAAGCTGAGCAACCCGTCACCATTTTGAGACATGTGCCTGACCCTCTGGTAGCATCTCTCCCGTCCGGACGTTGTAATGCTCTTATTGTTGAATTGTATGGAAATAAATGATTGTTGATTGAGCATTGATACACCGAGTATTGTCCTTCCTTCAGCCCAAAGATTCAAAGAACTGCGTGTTTTCAACGTTGGTTCTGTTTTATAAGGTTTGCAGGTTTTTATTTATGCAGAGTTTTTGTAAAGTCCTACCACAACGTGATTCGTTAGTTTTTTTTAGCTATTCTGTTGTAGATTTTCTGGTGTACTTGGAACCATTGTCCTGTTGCGTGACCCTTTTTTGGCCAAGCTTTAGTTGATGGACTTATTATGATTTATTATCAGTATTTTTCTGAACAAGTGGAGCAATAGAAGTTGACTGCTTTGAGACTGCTTCCTTTTTACTTACAGTTGTTTTTATTTCTTTTATGTTCAGATTTCCATCTGTTGCAATAGACTAATCTTTACTAAAAGCACATTTTGGCATCGAATATGTCACCCCAAATAAATAAAGCTTTGTCTACAGAAAAGTTTAGGATTTTGACTTTAACCCATCTGACAAATCTAAAGCTTTGATAAGAAACCTGAGAGTTATTTTACTCATCTTTGGATGTTTTTTAATTAGTGAGAAAAATGTGCAATGACAAAGCTTCCAAGAATGCCATTTAGAATGAAAAACTAATTCAGTCAGGCTTGTGTAGAAGCTTCTGACAGATTTAGACATTAATGAAATGTGAGTAAGTCATTAGATATTTACTAAGTTTAGTAAATACAATTTTAATGCACTTCCCAACATTACCTTTGCTGGTATGAGTGTTCAGAAGTATTTTTACTGTATGAATATGGCTTAATATAACTAGGCACAAATACAAATATAACAATTTCTTTGTAAAACCACAAGGAGTCAGTGTTTCACAAGAATTAGATTAATAAACATGATAGTGATAGTTCTATAGTGAGAATCTTGTTTGAGAGGTTCAGATTAACACGTTTATTAGTATTACCACTATACAAACATTTGATGCACATAAAACATGGTTACAATGATCCTTAGAAGCATATTAACTAGTTTATTAGATGCACCCAGATGCTCAGACAGTGTGGGAGAAGGCCGACCATCCTCCTCACCGAAGCAGTCAGCAGACTTACTGTCCTGCATGTACAAACATGAAAACACCCATACAACCACAGATACCCGAGAGCACGCCCACGCCAGCACCTTTTGATAACGTGGAGTCTAAACAACAAAATGAGAACAAGTTTGACAAGTTTGTCGTGCCAAAATGGAAATACCGTGGAATTACATTACAGCGGTAGTCATCATTTATTCTGGAGAAAGCTTTTACTTGCACAAGACACACCTGCATGCCTTTAAGATTCATGCATTCAAGCTTAACTCTGTTTTTTTAAAGGCCTGACAACCTCTAATGGACAAAGAAAACAGTTCACACGCTTGAAATATATTATTTCGCAATAGAAAAAGATAAAAAAGTGACCTTAAAAAACACTTTTGAGAACAGAAGCTCAAGATAACCCAAACGAAAGTAGAAAGCATTACCCTCTTAGTACAATTGATCGTATGTTTCCCAAAGTGCAAATAAGCAGATTTGATAAATACCATATTCACCCCTCTGCATTAGTTTTTGCATTACCCAGTCTTTATTGTAAACATTATGACATGACACTGCATCTTACCATACCATGCTCCCAGACAACTGAATAAATATTTACGACTTTTCATATTGTACCTTATACTTGAGGTCTGGTGACTTTATTGTGAAATGTAAACCTCATTTAATGTGAGTTTCTGCCAGTTTAGTTCATGGCTTTCCTCTTGGACAAGAGTTGCTGTTTGGATTTTCTGTATTGTGGTGACATCACTAGGCATGCAGACTGAGGCCAGAGTAGTGAACTTGTCACACAGATCCATTTCAGGGTCAAAGGAAACATCAGCAATGGAGATTGAATCAAGCTCAAAGTTATGCTCTGTGTCTCCCTCCTCATTATATACACGAGGCAGATAATTGCCCAGTTCCTTTCCTTGTTCCTGGAGAGCATTTATCCTTTTTGGTATTACCTCATTTAGTAGCTGGTTTCGTTGGTCTAGTCCCATATAAATCTTAAAAAGTAGAAACAGGAAGTTGTATGAATTTTCTTTTTTGAAATATTATTATATTAGAATTTAAATAGGAATTAAGGTAAGACAAGACTTTGTAGTTGACCATAAATGACAAAACTGTAGAAAATGTTGCTTTACCCCATGCTTAGATTGAACCTGCAGATGTGCCGTTCCTTTGTTGGATGATCCTCCGAGTGACTGAAAAAATCAAGCATTTAAATAGTTAAGCAAAATTCTTAACACCGGACTATTTAAATATGACACATGTACTTAATGATAACAAGAGTAAGTACAAGTTTTATAAGAAAAATCTCTGTACCATGCGCATAAAGCTTCCACGAGTAAAACCTTGTGCCATTGAGCTTTCCCTTTGAAAAGCTGAGATTATTGACCCGGTTTGTGATGCTCCACGTACGGCTTCATCTATCAGCTGAAAAGAAACCAAACAAACAAATGTCAAAGAATGACAGCATTTCATGGTTGAAATCATTTTAATTATGATTAGGCTTGTCCTCCAAGCCTATCATACTTGGATCATGTTAGAGCAAGGCTGTCAGTTGATACTGTACTTTTCTGTGTTTAAAACCTTTTAAAAATAAAAGAGCAAGGGACTAAAGAAGAACACATTACACAAGTTAAACCAAGTAGCATATATTATGCTACTTGCATACTACTTGCATAATAATATGCACACACAGTGGCTGCTCTCTGTCCCGACAAAACTGTGTTCCCGTCTTTGACTTGAATTAAGGATTTTTATCAGTTATTCAGTGTTTTAATGAGTATTTGGCAGCAGGATTATGTGTATATAATCATCTCCAATTATGTAATAATGCCAATATTCATCTTTATTATCTATCCTGTAATATGCGGCTGTTGTTACATCGACAATACCTGTTAACAACAAAATTTGTTCCATAGTAGGAATTGCATGCAACAGCCACTTCATTAGGAATAACTGTTCAACTGCTCATTAATGCACATTTCTAATTAGCCAACCACATTCCATCAACTCAGTGTTACTGGCAGAGGGGTGATGGGGAGACGGGTGAACAGCTTTGAGTTGCTAGGATGGCAACAGTAAAAACTACTCGATCCTCCCAGGGTAGGCAGAAGTGCATCTCTTAATGGAAACAGGGAAACCTGAAACCAATGGGCTACAGTCTTCTGATGGCTCCTTCCAGTAAAATAATGTGCAACACCAAAACTGGTTTCTTGAACATAACAATGACTTCGCTATACTCAAATGGCATACTTTAATTCACAGTCTCCAGATCTCAATCCAGCAGAGCATCTATGGGATGTGGTGGAATTGGAGATTTGCACTTCTGCAAAATTTGTTAAACACTATCATATCAATAGGAACCAACATTTCTGAGGTATACTTCTAGCACCTTGTTGAATACATCCCATTATGACGACAAAAGGGTACTTGCAAGGTGTAACTAACAAAGTGGCTGGTGAGTGGAAATTATAAAATAGTTCTGGAAAATTTAACATCAAAAGGACTCATGTTGCTTTACCCCATGCCTGGATTGCCACTGGAGATGTTTCATTCCACTATTTGATATTGCTCCCAGTGACTGGAAAAATCAAGCATTAACTGGTTAATACTTTTGAAACTTCACAGAAAAGCAAAATGTCAAGAACCAGCAAAATCCTTAACAACCACTTCGTCAAACAGATGTACTCAATACTACTACTACTACTAATTATACTAATACTAATAATAATCTCAGTACCTTCCGCATGATGGTTCCACGAATAAATGCTGACCCTGATCCTTCCCCCCGGTACTGTGAGGTTAGTGAGTTCATTTGTGATCCTCCATGTACTGCTTCATTCATCAGCTGAAGAAAAAACCGCAAAACAAACACATCAAACCATGACATTGTTTCCTGGCACAAATGATTTCAATAAGAATCCATTTGCTAAAGTCTATGATAACATACAATGTAAAAAAGCAAGGCCAGCAGATTGTTCTGTGCTTTTTTTAGTTTTCAATCAATCTCATAAAAAAAGGACCAAAACCCGAAAGAAATAAAGACTTCGTTTTTTGTTCTAAGGCTAAACAGTTTCTTGAAAGAGCAGGGGACTAACCCTACATCTCAACTGTGAAGCAAATGGGCTACAGCAGCAGCAGATGACCACACTGTCACTCTTGTCAACTAAAAACAGGAAACTGAGGCTATGTTTTACATAGGCTCACCAAAAACAGACAAGAGAACATTGGATGTATTGGCTTCTGTTGTGAAGTATATGATAGGAACAGTTGCATAAACAACATCTAAGCACAGGTTCATCCATCCTTATAGAAATGATTCAATCAGGTGGGGGTGATGTAATGGCATGGGCGATATTTTCTTGGTATACTTTGGACCCCTTAGGACAAAGTCAACATCATTTAAATACCACAGCCTAGCTGAGTATTGTTGCTGGCCACTTCTGTCCCTTTATGATCACAGTGTACCCAAATTTGGATGGCTGCTTCCAGCAAAATAAGGCACCATGTCACAAATCTCAAATCATTTCATGCTGGTTTCTTGTAGAATTAAGTCAGTTCTGACAGAAAAGGTGGTCCAGCACTTTCAGAAGGTTTCATATGAAAAGAAATATTACATACCCCACTCACAGATTGTCCCTGGTGATATCCCATTCCCACGTTTGATCCCCGCTGTGACTGAAAAATCAAGCATTTAAATACTTCTGAGATTTGATAAATTTCATGAACAGAAAATTATGATGAGCAAAATTCTTAACTTCTACCTGTTTAAGTATCACAGGTTTACTTAGTGATAATAACAAATAAAACAACAGTAATCATAATATCTGTACCATGTGCATAAAGCTTCCACGAATGAAAGGTTGTGCCACCGAGCTTTCTTTTTGATACTTGAGGAATTCTGTGCTGGTTTCTGAGTCATTTAGAAGAAACGCCTGAAAAACATCAAATATTTCTCACAATGCATGGTATATTACAAAAACGCTCTTTACAAACTAGTTATTACAATAATATATATTTTGTAGCACTTACTGGACTCATTTTCACAGTTTTAACTTGAGATATTTCTTGCATCGCATTTCCATTCTGATTCACAATGGCCACCTTGACAAAGTAATGATGTTTTAAGGTTTTTATACCAAAAACGAGAAGTTATGTTTACATAATTTCAGTCATTACAATTGCTGAAGTAGGGATAATTACTTTTAAAAAGTCAGGCAAAATGAATCTTTAATTTAAAAACCAACAAATATCTGTGTGAGTGAGCATTTGAGTGTGTGTGTAAGTGTGATTTATGATAAATGTATTTACCAAACAGTCTGTTCCTGGATTCTCAGTGTTAGACTTCATCAGTTGTTGTTCAGAAGATAAATCCTCTTTGATTTCCAAGATCTGTTTTTTGCAGGACATCAGAAGAGCCAAAAGTAGCAAACCTGGAGCATAAAGACCACACACACAAATATATGACATACAAAACATGCTAGATGTTTATTGCTGTTATAATTCTGTTATTTTTACTTTAAATAAATATTTTAAAAAAACTGTTTTTCAAAATCTTAACAAGTATAAAAATAAGTACTTAAATCTAACTGAAAAACACCCATCGAAAACTCATTTACATTTTTTTCCTGAAGAAGTCCAAAGCTTATTATTAAAGTCAAAGTTATTTCTTATTGTTAGACCTTTTTTATTATTACATTTTAATCGTTTTTAAATAACAACAACAAATATAAATGAGGATATCTTATTTATAATGATGGAAATATTTGAAACATGTGTCCAACCTGTGATCAGCAGCATGGCCAAAAAAATCATTCCCACTCCCCCTGCTCCTAGTGTGGTGCCAGATGTCCTCACATGACAGTTTGGGGTTTCTGAGTCTAAGCAGCTGCAAACAGTAACTGACAGGTTGTGGAAAGCTGATTTCCCCTGTTGGTCAGAAACTTCTAGCGACAGCTCATGGTGATTGGAATGAACTGTAGGCTCTTTAACCAAGTTGACTGAATAACCTGTGTGTCCAAAATGAATACATAATCAGATGTATAACTGTCATTGTGGCAGTCTATGTATATACTACTTGTACTTTTATATAAAGGAGGCTTAGAAGTATATTTAATACAAGTGACATTGTTTTTGTGAGTAATATAAGGTTGAGTATCTGCAGACTCTAAAGCTTACCAGTGACAGGGTCAATCTTCCACTTGCCCTCAACATCTCCATGGAGCTTGAAGGTGAAAGGGCCACTGTAGGGCTCAACATCTGAGTCCAAGGCTGTGATGTTGGCAAAGGATTGTCCGTCAGATTGGCACATTTCAATTGTGCTTACAACCAGGTATGGAGTATGATCATTGTCATCTCTAACATAGATACTAAGAGTTGCAGTGCTTGTCATTTGTGGTTTCCCTGGTGATGAAAAAGTATTGCAACTTGTTTAGAAATGTAATGAGGAAATGTAAATGAATAATTGGCCAAATATGTAAATACTTGTCGATTCATACCATCGTCAACAGCACATATTGTGACTACATAAATGTTGTCTTTAACAAACTCTGACTCTCGATCCAAGGGCTTTGATGTTGTTATGTTTCCAGTGTCAGGGTCCACTTTAATCCAACCAGCTGGATCGTGTCCTATAATGTATCTGAAATGGTTTGTTAGTCATTTTCAAAGTGTCTACTGATGTAGTAATGCTGTATGTTTTTGTCTTGTAGAAGTGACATGTAGTTGTATAGTTGTCAAGACTTACTTAAATGTGTTTTTGTTGGCAACATCAGGGTCTTTAGCTGTGAGTGTTGCCAGGTATTGGCCTTCCTTAACATTCTCAGTGATCACAGTTTCTATGGAAGTCTTGTCAAAAACTGGAGGCTCATTGACATCCTCAACAGCCACGATCACTTGACGGCTGGATGCAACTGTTCCAGCCACGAAGCTCATTGCAGACCCAGTAGCAGCGGAACCAGATATGGTAACTACTTTCCAAAGACCAATGGAGCTGCGTTTTTCCACTTTGCATGAATAATAGGGGATCTCATTCTCTACAGTGATAGTTATATTCTTCAGAGCACCATCTTCATAGTTTAAAGCCTGTAAAAGAGCATAACTGTTGGAGTCAAATTGTTAAATGTTGTCATTGTGTTACTTAAATTTGTAAATCATGGAAATAAAAGGCTGCGAGGAAGGCTGTTTATTTGATTCTGGCTAGGAGACAGGTGAGGAGTGTTCAGCTCCCACCGCCAGTCTCCCTTGCTAGCAAGTAAAAGCTGTTCATCTTGCTTCCTTGCTTGACGTTAACGGGAATAGGTTTCTAAACCAGCGGGGCCTGTGGAAGCGCAGACCCAACAATAACTTATCATATTTTTCCAGGGCTTTTTAAATCATAGCTTTGGTTAAAACTGTTTGCTACCCGATTAAAATTGCTTTTAGCTTGAATAAAGCCATATCGATTTGTTAAAATCCCGAATCGATTTTTAAATATAAATGTACTTTGCCAGAAATGCCAGAATCTCACAAAACTATTTCAGCAACCACAAAACAGCTAAAACAGTAAATGAAAGCAGGTAAATGGATTCCACAAAAAGACTCTCGCACAGAGCGCGGACCCGATGCATCACAGTGAGTGAGATTTCGGCTTTCTTTCACATAAACAGTCAGTGCTGAAAGTCGACAGCTCACAGATTCTGATAGGTCGGGGCTGCGCTTTGTGTTTTTGTCTTTTTTTGCACTAGATTGTAAAGCTGTAGGTTTTGTCCCTCTCCAACCAAAATAGACTGAACCAGCAGCAAAAGAAGATCAAAACTATGCTTCGCCGCTTCACATTTCACTTTACATAAACATCGTCATGAATTCCCTCTTACTTTTGCTGTTTTGCTTCCACTATGATAAAATCACACTTCCTGCACAGCTCTCTCTCTCTCAGTGCACTTCAAGAACAGTTTCCCCATCTCAAATCTGTTTTCTGCATGATTTGCTTGCTTATTTCCAAGCAGTCTACTGTTGTTTACAGCACTGTTGGTCACTGCTTTTTCTTATATAAATGACTTCTGACAACAAAGTCTCATTTCTGCTGTTCAATACTGAATAAATATAAACTTTTTAAACTTATGTGAAATTGCAAAACGCTTAGCTGTGTCTAATAAAACCACTGTAATTTTGTTCTGCTTCACTTTAGCAGCATCAGGTATGTTCATATGCTGAGTCATGGTTTTCTTCCATTTTTGTTCTACTTCAAATTATTTTTAAGGTTATCTGCTATAAAAAGCCAGGCCAGGAAAATCTCTTTCATATTTTTCTGTGTTTTATATACTAATTTTTGAAGATAAAAAAAAGCTTATGTTGGTTAATTTAAAAAATGCAACAGGGTTTTTACCACAGAGACTGTTTTGAACTACTTAGATTGGAAAGTTTAGTCTACTGTAAACATAATCACAAAAATACCTTTTCCACATGGAGTAGTCCATCGTTTGTCTCAGGATCTGTAGTTATTCTAAAGTTGTTGTTTGTGTCTCCTTGGATTGTATATTTGGCTCTCCATGCTGGGGTTCCTCTGGTGTCTTCATCATGAACTTGTATACGTGAAACAAGAACATTTGTCTGTCCTTCTTTCACTTTTTCTGGGCCCTTGGGTCACAAAAGAGGAAGATGTAAAATAGGAAATGATTTTCATTGAATAAATTATTGTGACTGAAATAAGTAACTGCTAACTGTTTGCTGTGTGATGACAGGAAGGTGATTATTTCCATCTTCTATATTGATTATGATGGTGCAGGAGCTGGATAGTGGTTTTTCTCCATTGTCTTTGGCCTCCACTATAATGGTGTATTTCTCAGCTGTCTGATGGAGAAAAATAAAATTTTGCTCATCTTGAATGGATGTCAAAAATATTGAATTTAGTTGTACTATTGAAATTTGAGGAGATTCATGTTGAAAGATTAAAATGGAAAGTTTTAATTTTTCAAGCAGTAATTTCTCTCACCTCATGGTCCAGACATCCTTTAAAAGAAATGACTCCAATGCCTGTCTCATCGATCTCTTTGAAGTAGAACTCAAGATCCTTAGGTTTAGGTTCGACTGAAACTATGTTAAGGTCAACTTTGTTATATATCTCACTTATGTCTTGATCTGTTGCTTGAATTCTACCCACTTCAGTGCCTGTTAGTATCAAAAGGAAATAATGATTATTTTGTTTAGATTCACTGTCACAAAAACATAATTTTGACACCGTAGCATTAGTAATTTAAATAATATTTCTTTCCAAATGAGAAAATTACCCTGTGATGTTGACTCTTTTATGGTGAAAGTGTACTTTTCAAACAGAAATTTTGGAGGGTTGTCGTTTGTGTCCAAAATCTCTATATAAATCCCGAGCTGTGTCTCTATTTCATGTTTTTCTCTGTCAAGTGCTTTAAATTTAAGCTGCAATGGAAAGATGAAATAATCAAACCTCGCTCCATGCATAGCTTTTACTTTCCATTTAGATATTTTTTTTAAATTTCTTCTTACCTTAAGAGTTTTATATTGTTCGTAGTCCACCGAACGGAGGACCTTTATTTCTCCTGTATATGAATTGATTTCTAACACTTGCGTTGGTTCCTCATCGACACCTTCTCCTTGTATCATAAAAAGAACGAGGTCCTTCTCAACCTCAATCTGTATCAAACATAAGACACACGAGCAGTGAATTTTGGAATTATCTTTCCTTATTTCATGATATGTGTTACATTTTAAGGCATACACTCACTTTGCCCAGTGAATATGGGAAAGGTCCCTGATAACCTTCATCAATAGTAAAGGAATTAATGATCCAGTTTCTTTTTTGATGCAGCAAAAGTTGTGAAGATGATCTGTGGACTCCCCAACACTGCAAAAGATCACACTGGAAACATTTCTTGCAGTAAATGTGCAGCACAGCATATTTATGAGTATCATATATATTATATATTATATTATATTCTTAGCAGATTTTTAATCTTTAAACACTGGCTATAACTCAGTATAATGTTGACAGACATAATCGTCATAAACACAATTAGTAAAACAATTAGACATATTTTTAAAATATTTGTGTTGAAATTTATGGCAGAAGTAATAAAAGATTACATGTAGTTTTACATACTTAAGCCTTACCAGAATCAAAAGTAGAATTGGGTGTATTAGTTCCATTTTATATCCACAGAACGGCTAGTTTTGAAGTGAATTCGTTGCAGACTACTACTTGAATGCACTTGAGTAGAAACTCAGCTGCATGCCAATGTGAGCTTTGGCAGAGAGATACCGGTGGGAGGGATATCTTTATAAATCAGCTGTATACGTCTAGCCATGAGGTAATCGTAATCTTTATCTGTATCTGTATGGGTGTGTACAGTTTTCACCTTGACTAACAGTACCCGCTTGCTTGAGAACCTATAATGATGCTAGAAAAGAAAAGAAAAAAACCCCAACTAAAAACCACGTAAAATCACATTTAAAAACATAATTAGTCTATGATATTATATTATGTATTATAATATATTATATAATATAGAATAGAATAGATAGAATTGCATTGTATTGTATTGCATCTGTGTGTCTGTGAGTGTATGTATTTGTAACTGTATCTTGGGCAACTTTTATAGGTTCACTTAAATACATTGGAATAGATTATGGGTTTTTGCAACAGGCTAATCACCACAAAATGTCTAAAGGGACAATTTAAGATTTTTTGCTCACTTGTCTGTGTGCGCACACAACACACACCTTGATTTAGATACCTTTTGTGATTGAAGCGGCTATTTACAGAAAGGCAAGCAGACATGGTCGCCCCCTCAAACCACACAACAACAAAAATATATAAAAATATATCTACAATTACCAAATATGTTCTGTTAGCTGACACAAGTGGTGGAGGCATTTTTGCAAGGTCAGTGTTAAATGGCTTAAATGAAGAAAATCCCCCACACACAATTCTCTTCTAAAAGATTTAGAAAAATTACAAAAATGTCCAAATATGAAACAAACGAAGGCTGGCTAAAGATTGTTACACAATACTGATTGTATTTTAATACAGACAATTTAAATGTTGACAATAAAGACTAATACATGTAGTCACAGCACTGATTCAAGGGAATCAAGGACAAATGCGTTGTTTGATTTGCTCCGGATGTCACACATTGGAGTAACCTCACTCCAGAGTTAACTGCATTCCATTTGTAAAGTTGGAAAAGCAACTTTTTAAATGCTCTATGTCAAGGTACAATCATTCATCAATTACCATTAATATAGTACAAGGCCTTTTGTGTGATTAAAACCGCTTCATATTCACAAATAGAACATGGTTAGTGTTCTGTGTATGATTTATTTAGTGAGTCTCAAATGCACAGAAGTAGCTGTACAGATTCCAAGTTTTACAGGTTCCCTGCTGTTTATACGCAAAGCTGTCATAGGATTGTGAAATCTTGGTCGTATGGCTTCTCTGACTTTATGAATTTTATACACAAATTCAGAATTTCCACTTCAAATCAAATGCAGCAAAAAATACAGAGGCCACACATGACTTATTTGTTTCATGGTGGTAACCCGAGCCCTTGCGTGCACAAGTTAGCACATGATACAACATTATTAGAATTGCAAGATGGCAAAAGTTTTGGGAGATCTTGCAAAAGTTCATCTTTATTTTTTTTTCTCCAATGTCACTTGCGGGGCTCTGTACAGGTCAATTATCCAAACTAAGTCTAAAACGAATTATATTTTTAAAGTTTTTGTTTTAATGTTTTTAATCTAGTGCTTGTTAAAATGTTTACCTAAACACATATAGTCCAAGAGTTTGGTTGAGGCTTTCAGCACCTTTTTGTCTTGAAGTGTACCTTTTCTCATTGTGTCCAGATGTTCTAAACCTTAAGAGACCACAACAGGTGTTTCCAAAATGCGCCTGGCATGTTCAGACTTCTAGTGGAAGTCAGTTACAAGTATAGCATGTTGGGGATAGGCTACACAAGCCTTTCAGTGTTTCAGGTCTTACAGATCTTTCCAAAGCTACTTGACAATGCTTTTGTTGCAATTGTGGTAAAGACGGGATGAAGTCATTACAGAACTAAATGAATAGAAACTCATAGCCATCAGTTAATGATGAATGATTTGAGTGCCTTATTGTACACAATTTTATTTAGAGTTATATAGCTTTATAGATATTCTTTCTCGGCCAAAAAATGGAATGGTGTTTTCTTTTCGGCTTTTGTGGTATCTTCATTTAGAAAGCATTTTTGAAAATTGTACCTAAAAAGCAGCCCAAGAATCAGATTCATTCCCTTCAGGTTTGAGGCATGTGACTTTTATTTATAATACAAATTTAAAACACAAACTAACCCAAGTTCTGTCAGCAGAAGACAAATTAACTTTATGCAAATACTGATAATTTTTGTAGTAAAAATGTTTGTGACTAAAAAAAAAAAGAAAGGGATTAAAATTGGGGTAAATAGCAGATTTAAAATACAATTTTGTTCTTCATAACACATATTTTCATGACTAATAGTAAGCTCTACTGTTATTTACATTTTTTATTTGTGTTTAATTTTAAATTTTAATTTTAATTAACCCTGACAGCAGAAGTTGGCAGCTTTTGTTACAAACTGTAACACTGTATAAATATATAAAATCTTGAAACTCTGACCTACTGAAAACTTGCCAGAACACAGAAAAAATAGTAAATAGTATTTGCTGATGCCACAGTCAGTTAAGTCAAATATTTAAGTCAAATGAATAAATCCCTTTAAAATTTGAAACCAAATTAGAAAGAAATTAGTTGTGGCTCAAGACTTTTGCATTTAGTAAAAAAAGAAAGAAAAAAAGGTGAGACTAACATGGTTTATGTCCACTACCCTGCATATTACTACAGTCTTGAGGACAGAAGGAGTTAAGGACTTTTAATCTGTTGCTTCAGGTTCGGATTAATCTGTATCTCTTCCCAGAAGGTGGAAGGGTTGGAGGAGTGGGAGGGTATTGGTAATGTCCACAGTGGCTCATAATAATAATAATAATAATAATAATAATAATAATAATAATAATAATAATACAGTTGTTTTTTTTTAAGTGATTTGATTTATTTCATTTAGCCATTGAGCTGAAGGAACTAAGCAGGAACTTGCATACTTATCTGGAAATAATAAACAATTACACCACTCCTAACTTGAGGCCCTTTTCTCAAGAAGTGATTTGATTGCTTATAATAAAAGCTTTCATAGTTGTTTCGCTTTCTTTCTAACTAAGTGACAGAAATCTTTTTATGTATTTTAAACACATCAAATTGAGTAGCAGCAATAATTTGATCCTCTTTAAAACATTGTGTTCAAAGCGTTGCAGTCAAATTCAAATAAAGGAAACCCACACGGCATGTCATGGGAAAAGTAAAACCATCAGTTTTGGGAAATCAAACCAGATTAGATGTCAGCAATTTGAGCCTCCTTACAGAGTGATGGGTTAAACTTATTTACCCCTACAACTACTGAAGTTTGTGGTGGCACTGTGCAGCTATGGAGATCTCCAAAACCTTCAGAAAAAAACTTTGTCAATTCCTCTGAGTCTGGTAGGGAAAGGGAAGAAGATCGCTTTCTGGAAAATAATGTACACAGGAGAATACATTTTCAGTGACTTACCAATTTGTCTATGATTTGCCAATTTAGTGATCAGGAATAGAGCCCTGGCTCCTGTCTGCTAGGCTTTTATTTTATTTTTTTACTGTTGGGATGTTTGTCTTTATTATTAAAATAACTATTTTATGGCCTGAAGCAAAACAGCCTTTCAGAGCCTTTACCAGCAGCACTGATGAAATCACTTCTTCGGAAAACAGATAAGAACTGTTAATGAACAACACCCTGCGTGGGAAGATCATTGCCAAAACAACCCCATGCAAAAAAACAAAGTAAAATAACTAAACAAACTGTTTTTCTAAAACAAGCAGGCTTACTTTAAAAACACAGAAACCCCCTATGCGTTCTTGTATGTACTTTAATCACTTTAATCCAGTCATTCTCAAACTTTCCTACTGTAGAAGCTAAAAAAAGGTTTTAAGAAAAAAAGTTTGGAATAATAAAAGTCAGCAAAAATGCATCAACAAGTTCAAATTTTAGTTTCCTTTTGAACCATACCGCACCTCACTTACACCAGCCAGAAGAAATGGAAAAAATGAAAGTGAACTTTAAGATTCTTTACATGTCTTTAATGCCCTTATTATCGCCTCATTCGATGCCTTCATCTGTCTGTTTTTGTTTCATATTATGTTTTATTATTTATAATCCATGTTTTGTCTTTTTATGAATTCTGGCAATTCATTTGCACTTGTAATAGAGAAAGGTTTTTAAGTTATGCATGCAAACATGTTCATAGATTTGTTTAGCATATTACCTTCTGTGGCTCACCTTGACTACCTGCTGACATTTGTCAGTATTTTAAAAAACAAACAAGTTCAGACACTTGCTGAAAGAGCTATGACTACACGGCTTACAGTCAGCACAACACAACAAAGCACATTGTTAAGGAGCTGTCACAACGTTTTACAACCGAAGCTCAAAACTTTGCACAAGTACAGACAACCCAACTCAGTGTTACAGTGATATTTCTATGCAGTGATGTTTTTGAAGCCACACTTTAAGTAGCCGGGTTAGAGGAGCATTGTGCAAACATAAACTGAATAAATATAATTAATTGTTGTCATTAGAAAGTGTAAAAAAATCTTTGTATAATTTTAAAAAGTTGAAGTATTTCAGCCCAAAAACTACAATCTTTATTTTAATTCCTAACAAAGAAAATATTTTTTACAAATATGCACATTTGCTCTCTATTCTATACAGTTTCCAATTTTTCTATATTACTTGTAAATCACTTAAAATCAGTGTTTTTATTGTTTTAGCCCCCGGAACAAGTCTGTTATGCTTAGATCAGCTCAATCAGTCCAACCGTCCAGTAAACTCAAAAAATATACCTGTATACACTTGCTCTTCTAAAAATAACATTTCATGATGTATCTTGCTTTTTTTGTTGTTTTTTAATTTCATTTTTATTTTCATTTTTTTTATGTCATTCATTTTATTATGTATTTTATAAAAATGTGTTATTTTTGTATTGTAAAGTATTTAAAGAACCTTGTGACTGGTTTAGAAAGGTGTTATAGGAATAAAGTTTGTTATTTTTGTATCATGAAATGCAAATATGAAAACTAAACATTAACATTAACGTTTTAATCTTGTAGGATATCCAGTGTTAATTCCAGACCAGTATGTCACTCGATCATCAACCATAGGCCAAGGACATTTCTAACTTGCATGAACAATAACCCATTATGATAAGCCCTGTGTTCTCATCAAAAACCCTTTACAAAACAGTACTCTAGAAAAATGTGACTAACAGGAGTCAGCTCAGTTTCAACAAAAGAAGTTCTATTAAATTTCCCAATAATACTGCCCTGACAAAGCAAACTAAAAAAACAAGAAAACACACCTAATCCCTTTCAAGTTATTACATTTTACAAACCACTTGTGCGTCACTAGCTGTGTAGTGCGTTAAATCCATCTTAATGCCAACAAAATATATCTAGCTTAGGATGAATTAGATGTTATAGTCCATAATCTTTAAGTAAAAATATTAAAACGTAGTGGTGTATCATCTCTGCTCAGTCTGTATTTTAGGGAGCGAAACTTGGAATACAATTTACATTTCAGCAGTGCCTTTTAAAGCTGTACTTTCTTTTTTTTAATTGCCTCATCATACATCTGTCCCAAAGTCTTGAACTTTGGCCCCAAATCATCCAGATACTTAAAATCCTCTCCCATGTCGTGGAATGACAGTTTATCCAATGACTGACATATGCTGCCATCTCCTTCAAAGGCATAGCTGTGGGGTTGGTATGTTGGGTGGTCAACAACATTTCCATCAACCTCGTTACATCTCTGTGGAATTTAGAAGTCAAAAATAAATGGCTTGGCTTAATTTGTAAAACAAACAAAAAAGAGACATCACTCAGTATAGCGTTGAATTGCATTTGGTACAGCATGACTGCAGCCCTTCCACACATCATTGCTGTGCAGTCAGTGCAGTTTAATGAATGTGATCGTCAATAAAATCAAGTGCATTATAAGCCATATACAAGGCATGCTTTGTGTGAAATAAACCTCTTACCCTGTTGATATGGTCTTCAATGCGGTCAGCCGATCGAAGGCTGAAAGAACGTTGGTAAATTGATGAGCCGGCCTGCTTACAGAGAACAGGGTTGTCAGATTTTATTGCATCATATAATGCAAATGCATAATTTTCATAGTGCTTTGTTAACATAATCACTGATTTTCAATGTTTTGTAAAATATGAAGCCACATAAGAGTACTCCTTACCCGATAGGTGTTCATTCTGTTTGAGTTCCATGTAGAGTTCATCCTCTAAAAAAACCAAAATAAATTGTTCACTGCAGACTTAAATTTACTCTGAAAATCTGTGTATCTTTTCACACAAAATTATTTTTTAACTGCTTCAGCATCTACCCACTTTAGTAATTGAGTAATTAAATACTGAACATATAATAAAATGAAGCAAAGCTGCCATTATGTGTTTGTTAACATAAGAGTAAATCTGTGAGTATATTTATAAATGTTGTATTTTATTTTTATTTAATATTGGCAGTATAGAATAATAATACTTGTAATCAAACATCCTCACTAATGTTTCACTTTCTTTAAACTACTTTTAGTAGTATTTGTATGTGTGTAAAAGCTAACAAGCTAGCATGAGTTAAATATTTTATCCAAAAAAAGGTAAGGCAGTATTTTTTAACATAGGGGTTCCAGCACCCTCTTGTGGATCTAAAGTGGTAGCATGGCTATTCATCATAGAGTTTACCAGTGCCTAGTACAATTCTTTTATTACAATATGATATTATTATTATATTATATATTAAAATAATTTTATCTAGAAAATAAATAGGGTAAGGTAAACGGTTAAGAAGGAAAAGTTCTTTTTATTACAGCCATTGAGACTTACCATGCTTCTCATGCCATGGCTCCTGTAGGTTTCTTGTTGATCCATGCCTAGTGAGTGGAACTGTAGGAAAGACACAACAAAGCTAAATAAAAAAACAACAACAAGCCCTGCTCCTTTGGTCAGATTTGTGCCTTAAAGTTAAATATTTATGCCCATAATTAGGGATATATATTGTTAGGATTGTATTCATATGATACAGACACTGCTTATTGTTTACCTTTATTTATCTACACTTTTGTTGATGCTACAATGAACATTTTATTGTAAAATTAAAAGATTACATTGATAATAGCTGCTTTTAGACACTGACAAGTTCAGCCGGTCTTCATACTCGAGAGCTATGCTCGGCCCAGCATAACCATGGGTAATACCAAGTTGTTTACCTGTGATTGGCAGGACAGCTCACACGAAGTTTAGGATAGGTCAAACAAATTTGTGGTACATACTCTTGACTAGACTAGGGGTGAGTTGGCTATCCTTTATAAATGAGTTTACAAGGGTCTACAACGTTTCAGGATATGTAGCAAGTCTGTCTCCATACAGGTAGCTTTTTTTGTAAAACACATAAGGGGTGGATGAAAGCGGTTAAAAAAAGATAACTTTTCTACATGTTGCTTAATGGTCGTGGAACACATACTGTGATCCAGAACCACCTTTTTCACTTGTAAAAGGTTTGATTGTGCTCACAGTAACAAGAGTAAATGTTAATTCCCTAAAAATGTTCTCTTTCAGTTCATCAGTTTGTCTTCATTGCGGCACCTCTTGTCTGTCAGCTACATGCCAGTGAGTGTCAGAGAAGACACACCTTTCTATTCTCACATGATGTTCTTCACTCGGCAGGTACCAGGGTGTCTGCTAGTCACTCACATCTGTTTTATTATACGAATGAAATGGTTGTCATTGCCTTAATTTGCATTCAAGAATGAGTTTGATTTGGCTGTCAGATCTCCAGTGAGAGCCACGTTTAAGACAAGAAACTACAGTAGACACGTTTTTTTCGGATATAATTCTGATCTATTTAGAGAACTAAAAAAATCAAAAAATCAAAAATACACTGTTCACTTCAAGATTATTGTTTCAATTCTTATTCAACATTCCTCTCACTTCAAGTAAATAAGCAATGTACACTGAACATATAATAAAGTGCATATATTATATAATTAAAAAATCTAATAAAGTATTTGCAGAATATAGCCAAACATCCTCTACTTTTTTAACTTCACCTTTTTCCATAAAGTCAGCACTGTCATACATGACTCTTCCCACCCATTGCACAACTCATTTTAACCCCGACTTCTAAGCATTTAAAGAAGTGCTTAGAATTGATGCTTGTTCTGAGTTTATGAGATAATTTGTGCTAGAGAAAAAATTTGAATGCTTTTGGAAAGAAGAGAAGATGAGCTTCATTTTTGGTGTATCACGGTATAATAAAACATTTACAAAGCACTGCTGTCTGGAGACAAACAGAAAAGTGAGCTCTGCATAGTAGATTTTACCATGTGCATTTTACCATAATTGCTCAACCTTTTTGGACCTTTTTGGGCTATAGCGGAAATTCAAAAGCTTTATCATCAGGGAGCAATAAGTAATTTTGTCAAGGGACTTGTAATTGATGCTATACTTTAGGACCAAGCAGTCTGACACAAGAATCTGTTTAATAATGGTCCTCAGTACCCATCCCAAAGCTTAATTATCATGTACACTTAAAATAAACAAAAGAAAATATTTTAAAAAGCTTTACTCACCATGGTAGACACTGAGCTGTTGTACCTATTTACGTCATATGGTCCTTCTGTATCAATCTGGGATAGATAATTGAGCAGAAGAGGTTAATTAAGCATTGAATTCAGAAAATATTCAAGTTTTATAAAAAATGTTTTAAGTTGAATTACTTTTCAATTAAAAACATCTCAACAGATTTGAAAATGAAAATGTATCTATAGCACCTTCTTCTAAATAATAAAACTTTATGCTTTCTTAAGTGCTCACAAACTTCCCAAAACTGTATATTCATTGGTACAGAAATCAATTCCTACCTGTAGCTTACACTTAAAGACCACCATAGAGATTCACAACTTAATGCAGCAAATATGATCAGTACATCTAAAAATGAAGAAGCTGTTCCAACTTGTCTTCTCTATGATGTGCTCACACTTTTTAAACGTTTACCTTGCAGACTGTATGCAAACTCTTTCCTATAGCTGTATACACAGCATACATCTTAACCACTGCCTTACATACCTGTCTGTCATCAAAGAAAAATATGATAACAACTGGATTATAGCTGCCATTCATTTTAAGCAGGATTAACTGACACATTTTGGCTTCTCTCCTGATGTCTTTAACTACACTATGACTGTGTCCAAATTGGCACAACTGATGTCTCTTTTGGAAAAAAAAACCCTTCACCAAAAAAGAAAGAAAGTGTCAGAGTTGAGAGGTTGATCACCTGCATGGTATCCATCTGACCATTTGTCACTGCCATATTATCTACTTGTGACTGGACGAAATTGGGCTCGGTCTGAAGGAAAGAGAGAATATTAAAAAACATGTTTTGCTTGGTGGAGAAATATAGCACACCGTTGTCTTGAATTTACACGCAGAGAACATGACAAACCCACCGTGCATGGAGAGCACCCTCCTTCTTGATTGTACTGGATTAGAGTCTGATTGCCCTCATCTTGTGGCAAAATCTTATCTGGTCCAAACTTGCAGAAAAATGCAATTAGAAGCACTGCAGACACACATGAAACAAATGCTAAAAACACAGTGTGCATCTTGTCTTTGTGTTTTATTGAACTGTCATTGCCATGGGTACCAGAAGGTCTCCCAAGTAGTACATTAAAGTTGGTTGGGAAAGCAGAAGAGCCGAGTCTTCCTTATGAACAACAGATGTGACTGTGGTTGTACTAAGGAGTTCTAAAAGTGTAACTGTCTGATTGGGTTATTCCTAAAAATTAAAGCATTTCTTACAGTGAAACTGAAAATTGAAAACAAAAAGGTTTTGCGGTCAACACTTGTGTATTAATGCTAATACAGATTTTTTGTTTTTACCTTCAAAAACACAGGAGACTATAATCTTATTAGAATTTATAATAGCTCAGTTTTGTCTTCTCACTGATTTTAATACTCACACAAAAATGCAAGCAATCCTATAATAACCAACCCAATGCCAGCTGGTCCAAGACGGGTTGAAAGCGGCTCTCTGTCGCGACAAACATCATTTTCATCACACTGACACACGGTCAATTGCAGAGTGTCATGTCCAGCTATGCCCTGTTGGTCCATAATCACCAGGGGAATGGAATAGTTAAGATAAGGAAGTGTCTTCTGGCTAACAAGAGATACTTCCTCACCTGTGTGGGGTGAGAAAACAGCATGGGGGTTTGTGGCTTTTTCCCAGAAATGTTTGTTTAATATAGAAATGAGGGTTAACATATATCTAAATGTACCAACCATAGTCAGGTTCTATTTTCCACTGTTGCTTTTGTGTTTCATCCCCCAGAGTAAAGTGGAAGGGTCCACTGTAAGGAATGGCATCTAGGTCCTTTGCACGCACCTTGACCTTGTTAACCTTGTTTCCACACATGACAGCGCTGTTGTTGACCAGTTTAGGAGTATTGTCATTGATGTCCGTCAGGTGGATCCTGACAGTGCATGTGCTCGTGGCTGGAGGCTGACCTTTGAAACCACAGCAAAATTAAAAAAAATTGCTTTGTTATTCCAAAGATTTGTTTAAGAAATTATCCAATTTATTTTAACAATAGTAGAGCTTCTGTGTACCATCATCTATGGCAGCTATGACGACTGTGTAAACATTCTCGTCATCAACAAATCGTGACTCTCTGTCCATCCTCTTAGTTGATTTGATTTCTCCTGTTTTGGTATCAATGGCCACCCAGTCAGCTGGATCTGTTAGGAGCACATACCTAAAGAGTAATCAGAGAGTGGTGCAGAACATATTAGATGAAAATACTGAGTTTAGCTTGTGGAAACCAAAGTTGTAGCTTTTTGTGTACTGCAGTGCAAAGGGCGTTACTCCCTCAGTAGCCATTTCTAACTTAATCATGTTATGCTTCACTGTGACACCTACTGGCCTTGCAGTGGTAAGGCCACTGTTGTATAGGCTTATTTTCTGATAATCTATATGACCAGGTGTCGATAAAGACATGATTAGCTTGGGATAGCTACCATTTCTTGTTGCTTATCACGCTTTGCAGGATCTGTTTTTTCTTTCAAGAAAGAAGAAGAAATAAAAGGGTTTAAATAAAACCCTTGTCAGTCTCTATTTTATGTTGTAGCTTACAGGCAGAATGAAAAATCTTGGATTCACATTAGACTCAATCAATGAGATTATCATGAACTACAGTACAGTATAACTCAAATTAAGTCAACTGACCCAACCTTTATGTCAAGAAGTGTTATTGCTGAGGAGATTTGGGCCACTTGGGGTTTGTTCTATAAACATAGCAGATTTAGTCATGATTTAGTAACTGAGTATTATCAATAATCAATGCCGCAGAGTTTTACTGGCACAAATGCAATTTTATTGGCCTGTAAAAAACGTATATATATTATTATTTGTAAATATTAATGCAGTTTTATTAATATTTTATTTTATTTCACTTTAAATCAGAAAAAATGATGTTACGCAAGCCTTGAAATATGCTTCTAGATATGTTTCTACTGCAAGTCTATTCTTAGGCACAAATGTGGGTGAAGCACTCAGGTTTACATGGGGACAACTGAGCGCTACACAGCCGAGTGTTATCAAAGAAAAAATTTGTGTTGAGGATTTTTTTATAATTGAGTTATTCGAATGACTCAAAGAATCATTGCAGCCCTTATATATTTATGTCAATCAAAATAAGCTTTGTAGAAAGGTTGTAGACACCCTACCTGGTAATATTAGAGTCGACATCATGAACCTTTGGCTTGAACAGCACCTTTCCTGGCTCTGCTTCCTCCTTCAAGTGCATGTCATTTATAGTTTTTTCAAACTCTGGTGGATCGTTGGTATCAATCATTTTTAGAGTGACATTGGCTCTGTCTGTAGGTGGATTTGTGCCAGCACAAACAAATATGTCTTCAATGTTTTTTACTCCAATCTGCAGGTTTATTGAAGTTGTGCGTTCAAAATTTTTTTTCTGAAACACACAACACGTACACACACAAACAACTTTTATTAAATGCTGATACAGTTTTTGTGATAAAACATTAGTGGACTAGTTCTTCCCAGAGTAAAATAATCAAGTTTTTAATCCAAGTGAGAAAAGCAGAATTACCTTGACAATACTCAGGACACCCTCATTTGTTTCTGGATCAGTTTCAATTTTGTAGATTCCTTCTTCATTCCCTGCAATAATGGAGTACTTGGCACGCCATGCATCAGTGTTTGGAGTGTCTTTATCCTCCACAGCAACTCTCAAAACATTAGCAATGGTCTCCATTTCTATTGCTTCACCGTTGTACTAAAAAGAAGGAAAAATTTCAAACGTTTAATATGTGCGTCTGTTAAAAAGCACTTTTAGTAAGTAAAATAATTGATACCTGTCTCTGCTTAAATCTTGGTTGGTGAGTGTTCGCATCGACAATGTTCAGGGTAACAACAGCAGTAGAGGACTGAGTCTTTGGCTTTGTTCCACGATCTTTTGCTTGTAAGACGATGGTATACTTTGTTGCTTTCTGAAACATATAAAATATATTTGAGATATTTGAAAATTCTACATGTTTATTTGCATGTACATTAACTTTTCAAAGATTTAGCAAGAATATCGCAATAAATCTCACATCATAGTCAAAGCATCCTTTTAAGGTGAGTTTGGCCAGTCCTCCTGGAAGTTGCTGCACAGCAATTTTGGGCTCTGCTGGAGTCTGTGAAACCATCGTGATGTTAAATTCAGAGTTGGGTGTGTTCTCCTTATCTTTGTCTGTGACCACCAGGGTAACTGGCAAAAGGCCTTTAAGAAGTTGGGTAAAGACAAACAAGGAGAGTTGGAGAGTAAATGTGGGATAAAGAAAAGGTTTTCAGTCAGGAAAACATAACTATAGAACTATGTAGTATGATTATAGTAAGATGAAATATGAGACTTTGGTTTGAAATGATTCTATATTCTCAAAGAGTCTTAATATCATTTGTTTTATTTTTTTAGTGTTTGAAATAGAAAATGTGCACACTATGAGTTATTTACCACACCGTATACTCACTTCCTTGTATATTTTCTTTTACATTAACTGTTACTTCAGGAAAAGAGAACATGGGTGGATTATCATTTATGTCTTGTATTTCAACATCAAATGCTAGTTCCTTGTCTAGTTGTTCACCCGTATTTCTGTCCAAGACATCAAAGTTAATCTGTGGATAAAAAAAGACGCATCACTTAAAATGCATCAATATCAGTTGCGTTTATTGTCAGAGGAATTTATATTCCAGTATTAGCTCACATGGTAAAGTGGCTTTTGCTCCCTGTCCACTTTTTTATGTGCAAAGACGACTCCAGTGTTTTCATTGATGGTAAACACGTCCGGCACACCTTCACCACTTAAACGGAACCTAAAGTCTTTCCCCTGAGTCTTGTCGTTATACATCTAGTCAAGATACAATCAGGCTGTTAATTTTTGCATATTAGATTTGTCCATAGTGACCAGTCATATCATTTATCAGTATCAGTTATTTCTTTCATATAATTTCCTTACCACTGAAATCTCTACGGGGTACTGTGCATCCTTCTCTTCTTCTAATTCAATTGTAGATAAGACCCATCTTCTTTTGGAACGCACCAGGAGATCCTGATAAGGCCAAAATATGGACCAAACTTTACACCAGCTTTGTTTTCTACAGAAAGTTATTTTACAAAAATAGCCTTAACAAACAGATAAAGTAAAAATTATGTTTACCCTTTTGGAAGGGCTGCTGTACTTGCTACCATAACAATCTGCCACGGCTGCTGCAGCAACCTATATGCAACAGGAAAACATTGCTGTGAGATTCAGTTGCTGTAGCAAACTTCAGTGTGCACTGGGACAGAAACTCAGGTCTCCCTTCTATCACAAAACAAATATACACAGGAGTCCCTTCACACATATGGGGAAGTCAGTTTCTTGTTCAAATTAATCTGCATGTTAATAAGAAAAACAGAATCATTTGTACAAGTATTGGAGAAGGAACTCATGATGAATGTCTCAGTGAATAATAAGATGTTGTTTTTTTATGACAGCCTGATGACAAATTAACAGTAATGAGTGGGAAGTGATCATTATTTAATCAACTCCTGCAATTCTAACATAATTCATGAAGTATAATTGCATTGAACTAATGATTTTCAGGTGAACATCTGTAGCATTGTGTAACTGCGGGCCATAAGTGACTTGAAATGAAACCTTGTCTCTTCTTTCTTGCTCTCTTCCTTCCCTGCCTTTACAGACTTCCTCTGCTCAAAAGCCATTGCTAAGTTACTGTTAAGGGCACATATAGACAGCTAAAATAGTAAATAAATCATTAACTTGAGCACAAACAGCAGTCCCAGTGCTTAATGTTAACAGTTATAATCCTAAAGTTAAGACAGGTCAAAACAGGTTAATGATAAGGAGAACCTATAGTCCTATGTCGGGACATGCAGAGATCTTCACACACAAAATAAATATCATCAGAGGTGGGAAGTAACAAAGTGTAAATACTTCGTTACTGTACTCATGTACAGACTACTTTTTACTTTTACTGCCTGCATTTTTAAACAAGTGTCTATACTTTCTACTCCTTACATTTTCAAAGCAGCTTTAGCACATTTGGGTGGGTTATTATTTTGTCTCTGTGACCCTTCACACATCAAACCGATTTGACCCTAAACAGAAAAACGTGAGTGGCAGTCCTGTTCATGCATTAATCACCAGAGGATGTTGCATAAAAAGAGATGACGTGTACCAAATTTACGGGTTAAAAGTAGACCGGTGCTTTTTGTTTTTGTTTTTGCCACAACACCGGAACAACAGCAGATCTACGGAAGTCATGTTTGTGGTACTTTGGCATCGAAGCTAGTCCTACAGAAGAGGAGTGAATATACAGGGAGTGATTTTTGTGTTTTGTGTCTTTGTTGGTTGCTCTAATGTGTTTAACATATCTACAAATGAATACTGACATTACTTTTATAGAGAATAAAGGTGACCTTGGTTCTTGCAACCTGTAGAAACTATTACACAGCCTCACCATATGGCTTAGAACAAATGACATTTTTAAGTATTAGTTTAGTTTGGGTTGTTCATGATGCTTATTTTCACTAGGGATCACACACAAAAACAGATGTCTCATATATGGCAGCATCTGAACAGGGACTCAAACAAACAATTTGCAGATTACTAGTAAGGTGTACCAACCTCTGGTCTTCATCTTGTTTAGGTTGCTGTGTAACTGCTATAGTTGCACAAGCTGCACACCCTAGCACACAACCATGAGCCCCACGAAAGTGTATAAATCCCCAACAACTCTGTTACAGATACTGGCACAATACACAGTATTTTACTGAGAGATGACAGGAACTGTTGGGTGGAGCTGGCAAGAGGGGAGCTCTAGGGTCACTGCATACTACCTTGACCAAAGCCTTTCAATGAGGTCCTACTTATACATATCTATATATATCTGTATCTATCTATCGATATATAATCAAAAGTTTAAGACCACTTGAAAAATGGCAACAACAAAAAAATTGCATGGCTGGATCTTAACGAGGTTCCAAGCAGGGCTTCAACCAGTGTTGCCAACTCCTCAGTAAGGAAAATCACTATTGGCTGTCCTAAAAGTCGCTAGAAGTTGCTAAATTACGTCATTGTCATCTAATTAGCATAATTGGTCATGCTAATGTAATTGTAACCTGTTGGAGAGAGAAATAACATCGTGGAAGAGACATAAAGTCAGTAAAAAAACGTCTTAAATGCATTTATAATTTATTTAGAACTACAAATTAAATTTCTTTTAGCAATTATTGTTTTTTTTAATGTAACAATTCCAACCCTGCTCCTTTTCCGGGCTTGGACCGGCAAAAGTGACCCGAAATAGGCACTCTGGTGGAGTTACCTTGTGTGTGTGTGTGTTTATAAGTAGTTTTAAACCTTGTGGTCCACAAAGCAACATAACAGTAAAAGAAGAACTGACTGCGTTACGGTCAGTGCGGGAGCAGCGGCTTGGCTCATGCGCGATTCATTTGCAGTTTGGACGCATAGGTGTGAACATCTCCTGCCCTAATAGCAGCTGGGGGAGGGCTATCCTCGGCCTGTGAGCGCTTTGGCACGGGCAAGGTGCACCTGCTGCTTATTGAGAGTAAGAGCGATACGCGCTTTCACGTCAAAAAGTCGTCATAAATAAGTCTCCAATAACACCAAAAAAAAGTCGCCGGATTTGTCGCTAGTCGCTTTTTTAGAAAAAAAAAGTCGCTAAATATAGCGACAAAGTCGCTAAGTTAGCAACACTGGCTTCAACATGCTAGAAGAAGAAATGGGAGTGAGACAAGACATTTTTTGAGTATGCAATTTATTAAAAGCACTCCCACACCTTCTTGTTGCATGTTGAAGCTCTGCTTGGAACCTTGTTAAGATCCGACCATGCAATTTTTTGTTGTTGCCATTTTTCAGGTTTTCTTAAACTTTTGATCAGGGCTCTATATTTAGTTTTTGTGTATAGTTTTTTTTAAATTTATATATACTTTTATCCACATTCATCTTAAAGCCTAAAGGTCTTCTGTAAGTTTCATATAAAATAAACAAGTGAAGAGTGTGCTTAAACCTTTGCAACAGTATGAAACATTTTGTGCTTTATTTTAATATAATTGGCTCCCTCAAATACAAAATATGGAAAACCATTCAAACAAAGTACCCAAAATTTGTTGAAGTCATTTATATCAATATTTTCTGGATTTTTTTTTTCTGAATGAAGAATAATCATCTGACAAACATGCAGTATTATAGCATTTAGTTTACCAAGTGCAGATGACAGGACATATATTATGTTATTAGCTACTAAATAAAATAGTAAATAATTAAATGAGCTTCAGACAATAATAGGAAGGTCTGTAGGCTAGTACATATAGTACGATGGATGAACCTGGGAGTGAGCATATAGGTGTGTGAGCAAATAGCTTCTTGATTGATTGTTTTTCCCACAACAGAAACTAAATATACTGCAAAGTAAATTTAAACACCTAAAGCACCTGAGCACCTAAAGGCTTATTCACCGAATACACTGTGTTAAAGTTCATAGTCCACAAGCTGTAACAACACTGCATAGAACAAGTTCTGCTTGCGTTGCTCATCTATCTCTTGTGAACGGATGGGAACTTATACATTAACAGAAGCTAAATGCTCTATGCAGGTTAATGTAACCTGAAAATATCATTAGATATAATACAAATAAACATTACAGAAAAAATATCAAACATTGAAATTGATGTTTATCTTCAGTGGTGAATACAATTATCTTTTTTGGGTTTAACAATAAGAATAAGAAAAAGAATAACAATAAGAATTTATAAGACAATCCCTTATCAATACTGAAGATTATTAAAAAGGTTGTACTCACCAACAGAAAAAGGGAGATCCTCATCTTGCTCTACACTCCTTAGAGCACTCTGCTGGAGTGCTCTAAGTTTCAAAAACAGCTTGACTAGGAGTGTGGGAAAGCCCTGCCCACAGCTGCTGTAGAGAGCAGATTGGCTGACTTTCCAGTCTACACAGACCTGCGTCTTCATGCTGTACTATTTGATGTATCAGGGTGCAATAAATGTATTTTTTTTCCAGTTTTGTGCAGTAAAAGACCAGTTGGTTATGCATCCCATAAATGTGCCTGTATAAATGTCCTTCATGAGAGAATGTATAAGCTACTGTGAGTTTTTAGTCTGTGGGTGTGCTTCGCAGCTCAGGTGTACATCCCTCCAGCTCTACAGCTCAGGTTACCGTGTTTTATTTATGCGCGGCCTACATCATATGCAAATGAAGTTTGACTCCACAGATCCTTCAGCTTAGTCGCTTTGAGAACCTTTTAAGCACACAGGTAAAAGTAGCTTCACTTATACTCAGTCAGTGATATGTTACACACACTCTGTATGTGCCTTCTCTACCTGCGTATTCCTATAATTCCTAAATATTTAGTACTGAAGCTTTGCAGTTCTTTTCAGACTCAGAGTCAGTGGATTTGAATTGTAATTAACAGTTATTATCATATAATCCTTGACTAATGGTAACTGTGTCCACCTTGCCAAAGGCAATGCTTTTTGGCAGGTTTTGGAGGTATTAGTTTTGGCTTCCACAAAGTTGCAGGTAAACAGTTCCCGCTGACTAAGCCTGGTTATTAAAATGACGCATCTGTATTTAAGGAGGTGAGCCACATCTAAAAAAATAAATTTGGATGGTGATTCACTACTTTAACACGGAATCAAATTACTTCGTCACTGATGTTTAACACATAATTTATTAAACTTATATATGAATACTGCTATATTCTTGAATACTGTCATGGACAAAAGTAAAACAGTATGTCGGATGTGCCACGCAATGCTCAATTACATTGGTGGGAACTAGTGCGTTAGCGCAGTTAGCTCGTTAACGTGTTGGCCGTCCAGCCCCAAGCACTGGGCGATCCGCGGTAGCTCGTTAACGGAGATTTGCCGTGTTGTGGTGTTAAAATCATTTCAGATTAACGCTGACAGCACTAGTGGGAACAAAACGAATGTGACTGCACATTTACTCCGACATCATCCTAGTGCAAAGACAAGTGGAAGCAGACAAAAACAACAAGCACACATGGTACAAACTTTACCCGAGTCATTTAGACAGCCGTTAGCACATGATTCTCCTTATGGGGACCTGATATGTTTAATATGCTGCCCAGAAGAAGCGGATAGTATAGCTTTTATTTTGGAAAGAGCCATTTCTCTGTAATAAACTCTCTTTTCCAAAGATGAGTGATTCCTCAATCAGATAGATTTATGTTTTTTATTACTTTGTTGTTTCAGCAACATTAAATTTAAAAACTGTACTTTTGAGTTAAAATATATATTTATAATTTTAATAAATGACAAATTAAAAAGGCATGAACATTTTTTTTGTATCGAAAAAATATCGAACCGTGACACCAAAGTATCGAACCGAACCGAACCGTGAATTTTGTGTATCGTTGCACCCCTAATGTATATGTATACAAACTTGAATTGAATTGAAATTGAATAACTCTGTGTACTTGTACTTGTGTTGTATAAATTAAAGGGATAGAGAAGCTAAATCAGAAAAAAATTACATTAAATGGGCCCTAGTGTAACTTGACCACGACATCCCACATATAAAAAAAAGCTTCCAGGTGTTTTGTTTCTTTGTTTTTTTAAAAGAAAAATATTTTAAAAGTACACAAAATGGGCAAGTGCAACTCATATCCTGGAGCCTTCCTAAGCAACATAAAGAAGGTTCAAATTGTAAACCTTAAAACTCAGTAAAAAAGTAAAACTACCAAGCCTAAAGGAGTACATTGATAGACTGATGCCACTACTAAATGACTCGTGGCCACTAAAGAAAGAAAACTAAATTCTTTAATCTCTAAAATCTACGGAGGAGGTTATGATCTGAATGCGCTAGTTGTGCCAAATACATTTTGCTTTTCCATCATTAGCTCTGTAAATACTCTATAGGCTTCTCTTGTTAAGATGTTTGTTTTATCTGTTATTTCAGTTATTACGTAGCAGTATGACAATCTGTAAGACAGGACAGGCTGGGAAAAAAAACGCCACACTCTTGTTTATTAACCACTTTCAGTTAATGTCAGTTAATGAGTTCTAGCTCTTTCTAACCTGTTTCAGTACACCGTGATGGGAGGGGAGGCTTTGTTTCTGTGGAATGCAAGTATGAAAGTATCTGCAGGGTTTGACACTAGCGAGGCCTGGCCCAGTGCCAATAACAAATAGAGAGCTGCATAAATCGGTGGCTGTTTGGGCATCCTACTACTGTTTGTAGTAGGATTGTTATGATACAGATAGTCACTATACTGGACTGTAATTTCAGAAAATTATAACTATAATTTTAACTTGTCTGTAGAACAAAAAAATACGGTGATAAGGTGTATATATGATAATATATAAATAAAAAAAGACCAGAAGTAGAGTATCTTTTCTATCGTTCCATTGTGTTCCAGTTCTAGTGACTTGGCATATTTTATACTGATCAAATAGAGTTGGCAAGGTTGCCATTGTTTCTCTCTATTTCCTGGTTGACCTTGTTTAACCTCAATCTGGCGCTGCTTTGGAGAAACATAGAACTTTTTAGACAACAATAATTGAGTTTTCTTAGTAAATTAACACTGTGTTGTTCAGTGCTGTGAACGTCAACTATGCATTGATTATATGTTGCAGACAAGGACAGCTGGACACCCGACAGCCAAGTAATCATTCCTGTTATACTTGGCCTGGAGTCTGCCTGGGCCACATGTGCGGCTGGTGCATTGTAATTAAAATTCTCTCGGGAGAAGTCACAAAAAAACAGGCAAACATGAGGGCATCCACACGGACTCATCTGATAAAATTTATGTAACTTGGCCCCCAGTGGACCCTAGCAGACTTGTGTGCATGGAAAGTATTACCAAGGCTTTAAGCTGCTATTGAGTGAAAATCTTCCTATGAAGATTTCCAGGGATTCCTGATATATTTTAAAACATGTACACCTGTGTGAAGACATATCCGCAGAGCTTCAAGATGACAGTGATTCACAGGCATTTAAAATTTCACATTTTTGCATTTTCCATAGATGAGTTTTCAACTGTAAATACCCATTCTTACATATTTATCCCTATATTTGTTTGATAACAGGAATAGTGATGATAGCGTCACAATGAGGAGGGCAAACCCCAAATCTGAAATAAAAACCTTTTTCAAAAGTTGACATCTTATCTTTTTAACAGTATGTGACTGTGTAAACCTTCCCTGAAGAAACCAAATATAGTCATTTGTAAAACGACCTGTTCAACAAGCTTAAACATGTGGGAAAGTAATTTGCTTATTTTCATCTGCTTCCTTGCAGCCTCCACTATTTTCAACACAACCACAGCGTGCTTGCTAGGTTGTTGAACCAGACAAAATGAATTCTGGCTCTATGAAGAGTGTTGGCTGGTTAGTTGACAGATTCTTGTGGAGTTATCTGCAGGCTTACAGTAGTTGCCTCCAGAGTCTGTATATGTGTATATGTGTATATGCGTGTGTGTATTCGTGGGAGCACAGTGCCAAACCTCTCCAAAACAGTTATAGTGTAGTAAGTACTATCTTTCTAACAATACCCATACCATTATATCAAAGCAGGAAAAGGACCATAGGTGGAATGTAACAATAATGTTTACTTAAGTAACAAATAATTTACTGCAGCCCCAAACCTTTGCTTGAGTATGAATTAGTGTTAATGTGTTAAACAAGAACCACATAGTTTAGATGTATATATGTATTTAACTTTTATGATAACATTTAGACCATTTAATGTTATGGACATTTAGTTTTTATGTCGGTGTGTCTTTGCTCTGTATCTTGAAGTTATATTATAAGTTTATGTAAATGACATATCAACCTCCTGAGGGCTTTTTGGATGGTGTGCCATAAAGCTGTCAAAATGAGCTGAATTGAGAGAAATCCTGCTGAGGAGCTTTGTACATAAATTATATACAAACAGCCTTCATCTATGGAAAGACAGGGATATATTCTGCTCACTGCCTCTCATGATTTCTCTCTCTGAATCACACACATAGAGGTTCTCTAAACACTATATATACATTAAAGTTGAGATAGTAAGAGAAAAATAAAGCAAACAAGGAAAAAATAAATAAAAAAAAAGAATTGGGAGTTGTAGGAAAAGCTTTCTCAATAACCAATTCCAATGAAGACTCCATTTTCAGTGAGAAGGTAGTGTTATTGATATTTTTCTTGGCATCAAAATAGTGTTCACATTTGCTTAACGATTGCACCAGAGTAATTGATGCCTAACACTGTTTATCCATGGAAGAAGTTGCCCATAGTTTGGTTTTTCCAAAACCTCAACATGAACAAAGCAATCCAACAGTGCAAACAAATTAGTCACAATCATTTTCAAAAATCTGCATGACTTTTACCAATCACTACATGTAGCACCTTGTCACACAGAGATTTAGTTAGGTGATTTTTCAAAAATGTTTCCCACTGCAGAGTCAGAACATAAAACATAAAACTCTTGGCACAAAAATGAGCTCCTCCCTTTAGACCCAAGTAACCTTAAGGCTTTTATGTTTGTCACGCAAAGATGGCTTTTACAACCTGCTGTATTTTCATGAATTGTTTTTTTTTTGTAGTCTTCTTTTTAGTTATTTTCTCTGTCAATGAAGTTAGCTTTCTTTTTGTAATTTGTTATTCTTTCTACTATTCTGTCACTATTCTGTGACTATTAACAAATTTAACATCCCAAACCCACCTGATACAGTACAAAATTGTCGATTTTCTGATAATAATTATTGTTTGGTTGATAAGAATTATATTTACATTATCTTAAAAAAGAAGGAGTAATTAATTACATGTTCTTTAAGATTTTAGTGTGTTACAATTATTGGAAGAAACCACTTATAGGCTGTATTTTT